GTGACTAGAGACAGTGACTAGAGACAGTGACTAGAGATAGTGACTAGAGACAGTGACTAGAGACAGTAGAGACAGTGACTAGAGACAGTAGAGACAGTGACTAGAGACAGTGACAAGAGACAGTGACTGGAGACAGTGACTACAGACAGTGACTGGAGACAGTAGAGACAGTGACTGGAGACAGTGACTGGAGACAGTGACTACAGACAGTGACTGGAGACAGTAGAGACAGTGACTAGAGACAGTGACTAGAGACAGTAGAAACAGTGACTAGAGACAGTGACTACAGACAGTGACTGGAGACAGTAGAGACAGTGACTGGAGACAGTGACTGGAGATAGTGACTACAGACAGTGACTGGAGACAGTAGAGACAGTGACTAGAGACAGTGACTTGAGACAGTGACTGGAGACAGTAGAGACAGTGACTAGAGACAGTGACTATAGACAGTGACTAGAGACAGTGACTAGAGACAGTAGAGACAGTGACTAGAGACAGTGACTGGAGACAGTGACTAGAGACAGTGACTAGAGACAGTAGAGACAGTAGAGACAGTGACTAGAGACAGTGACTAGAGACAGTAGAGACAGTGACTAGAGACAGTGACTAGAGACAGTAGAGACAGTGACTGGAGACAGTGACTAGAGACAGTGACTGGAGACAGTGACTGAACGTGGTATGGTACAGCAGCAGGGGTTGGGTTAAAACCCGCGAGACCTCCTGCGCACCTGGCGAGGTAGTTAACATCTCGCCCACGATGGATTCCAAATATCGTGGAATTTAAATCTAAATCGTTTGCTTTTTCATCTCCATATGAATCGATTGGCGGTAGCCCGGGTCACCGCAAACTATTGGTGGACCGGGCAGAGTTTAAGGGGGGTTTTTCTTTTATTTTCTGGGAGCATCGCTGGTACCACCAGCCTGTCCTGCCGGAGGACGACGCTCGGAGCGATGATGAAGACGACGACCACGATGTCGATCCCGCCAGCACGACCACGTGACCGCCCGGTGCCACATTGCCTCCGAGTGGTCTCGCTCACACAGACAAGGAGGGTGGACCGCCCACCGTAAGAAGCGGAACGTGCTGGGGGAATGATCAGACCAGCATCGCGATGTACTTTCACAACAAGCGATGAGCAGCCGTTGCCACGCACAAATACCCCAGCAGCCCCCCCTGCCTTGTTTATGGGTGTTTTGCGTGTGGTTTTTTTAACTTCCATATTTACAGCTCCCATCTTCATAGGAACCTCTGGTTTCGGAGTTATGGAGGTTTTGGCACCCCCTGGGGTCACGATGGTGACCCGGGTCACCGCCAATCGATTCATATGTATATATAAAAAAATGCAAAGTTGTGATTATGTGTCTGTAAAAAAAATGTTGAGCGTACTTCCCGACACGCAACAAACTGGAAATTTGCCATGTGGGTACTTTCCAGACTGTACACCAGGCAAACATTATAAAAATAGACTTTTGTGGGTTTTTTTGGGGGGGGGGGGCGTGGGGGGAGCTCAATAATGCTTATACTTTTGATTTAAAGCTTTCGTGACTGCAGTCATTCATATTATTAGCTCTTTCGGTAAAGTCACGTTGAAGGGAAACAATAAAATAATACAATATATATAAAACAATAAAAATTCTCACGACGTCGGTTTGCATTAATTTATTCATTTTTAAACGGTGCATTTATTTATTTATAAAAAAGCGTTAGCGCCACGGGCAGCGATTTGTCAGTTTATTTAGAAGGACGAGTCCATCTATGTTCTGAAAAGAGGAGGGGGGAGACGAAAAATTAATGTATGCTGTCTGAAAGCCACCGTAAGCGTGAACAATCAATTAAGACCTGAAATGGTTAATCAAATCTTTCCAATGATTGCTAAGCCAGAATCCATCTTCTCGGTTGAAATTGTCTCTGTGCTTGTATATGTGAATAGCCTCATGAACGAATTCAGGTCTTAATTGATTGTTCACGCTTACAGTGGCTTTCAGACAGCAAACCGGCACACCTGATGACGACCGTTTGTGTTATGGTCGAAACGTCGTGAGAATTTTTTTTATTGTTTTATATATATTATTATTTTATTGTTTCCCTTCAACGTGACTTTACCGAAAGAGCTAAGAAAAATCCAGATACTTTTTTGCACGGCAAGTGAGCTGTGACGTCAAATCTGTCACGTGACCCGCGCACGTGGAAGCGTAACGCATTGTAGTGTAGCGGTTAGCGCTACGCCGCGCTACGAACCCGGCGACCCGAGTTTGATTCCCGCTCACGGCCACCGACGGTGACGATTATTTTAACCTGGGCCTCCCCTAGGTCGACTCAGCCTCAAACGAGTAACTGCTGTGGTGTGTGTGAACATCGCCACTGGGGAGACAAAGGTGGCCGGGCGTGGTGCTGGCCACCCCACCCACTCGTATTTAATAAAAGGAATGTATTTACCAGTCGTTAGGTCAACGTGACTGAGTACTGCAATCTGCTGTTGGAGACATCATTATTGTTCTGTTGTTGTAGAAGTAACTCATGCAGCCAGCTATGGCTCTAGGGTTTTGGTGTTACATGTTATTATTTATGTAGTTTATTGTCAAAAAAAATTCGGTCACAGTCCCCGTGATCACTGTTACGTTGCAATTATGGCTTTTATTTTTTGGTGATTTCGAAAAGTTTTTTTGGTTTGGACTTGTTTGTTTTGTTGTAGTACGGAGTTAGACTGATGGCCTTAATCTAAGTTGTCTTGTGGTTGTTGTTGTTTGACTTTGCATCCCACTGGGATTTTTTGCACACAGCGTTGGTGGTGTACACGGTGATTTTTTTTCAGGAATATTTTGCTGTTTTTTTCCATGGATTTTCTGTTTTGCACAGTCACACATAGTCACTTTAAGATGTTTTATTGTTCGTGTGTTTTTTTTTGTTTGTTGTGGTTGCACTCGATTCAAGAGCCGAATGGCTCACAGGGCTATACCACTATAAATAAACTGAAATAAATAAACTGAATGTGTGTGAATTGGGTATTGTGAAAAGTTGTGAACTATGAACAGGTCCCTGCAGGGTGGGCTGGTAGGAACATTGGAATTTTGCGCAATTTTATGACATTGTTACGTAAAATTGTGCAAATTGAGAGCGTCTTCCCACCTTTTTGCCCTCAAAATCGTTGAGGGTTCATCGGACAAATTAACCTCTGTAGAGGAATGGAATGGTGAAATCCTTATTGACTGAAATCTGCTCATTTTGGAGCAATGTATCATAAAATCGTTAAGGGCTGGGCCGAAAAATGTCAAGAATTGCATTTTAAAATGAGGAATTGTTTCCCGGTATACGGTAGTATGGGGCTTTTGAAAGGGGACGGACGGACGGACACATTAATCTATTGCAGGCTGGTACACTCAGTTTACAACTTCGTACCTACCAGTATTATTCTTTTATATATATTTTATTTTGATTTAAAGCTTTCGTGACTGCAGTAATTCATATTCTTAGCTCTTTCGGTAAAGTCACGTTGAAGGGAAACAATAAAATAATAAAATATATATAAAACAATAAAAATTCTCACGATGTTTCGACCATAACACAAACCGATACACCTGATGACGACCGTTTGTGTTATGGTCGAAACATCGTGAGAATTTTTATTGTTTTATATATATCTTATATATATTTTATTGTTTCCCTTCAACGTGACTTTACCGAAAGAGCTAAGAATATGAATATAACTATGATTATTGTTTTTTTTCTCACCAAATATTTCAATTGCTATTATTCATTGTTTCGTTTGCTTTATTTAAATGTATATTTTAGTTTAAATTGTGATTATGTGTTGGTTATCGTTTTAACAAATGCAGAGTACGGTATTGCCATTCTTTCAGTTTCATTTATTTTGGTACAGCCCTGTGGCGAGCCATTCGGCTCTTGAATCGGGTGCAACCGCAACACAAACAAACATAACAAAAACATGAACAAGAATAACATCTTAAAGTGACTTTGCGCAAAGAGAAAAATCCAGGTGAAAACTGCAAAGTCTTCAAAAAAATGCATCTAAATGTAGGTATCCTAAAGTATTTGATTCACATTCAGCAACCACAAAATATTCGGAACCGTCAGTTAATGTGTTAAAAGATTTCGTGACTGCACGTTGAAGGGAAACAATAAAATAAAAAAAAATCTATAATATATAAAAATTATTATTTTTATTATTAAAAATATAAAATATTTTTTTTATTGTTTCCTCTTTCTACGTGACTTTACCGAAAGAACCAAGAATATAAGTTAATGTTTTGTTTCTGTGCGTATTTTTTTTTGTTAAATCAGTTCAGTTTTTAATAAGTTGGCGAAGTATTCGCCCAACAATAACCCGTTCTTAAAATTCAATTGAAGGGCTGGAATCTGAATCGAATCAGTAAAATCATGGAAAGGGAATCGATTTTGGAATCGACTTCAATCTTTTATTGGAATCCCCCCATCCGCGTAACTGAACACGGAGACAGCCCGGATCGCTTTTAGCGATTCGCAATAAACAGCCCGCGACAGCCGGAGTCGATTCTGATTTGTACCGCACCGCAGACAGCGGGAGAATCGAAGGGTGGAAATCGGAAGCTCTAATTGGTTATAGAATCGATTAGCTCAGGCGAAAGCTGTGATTTGACGGCGCGGTCAGACACAGAGACACGGGGACAGGGAGACACGGGGACAGGGAGACAGAGACACGGGGACAGGGAGACAGAGAGACACGGGGACAGGGAGACAGAGACACGGGGACAGGGAGACAGACACACAGAGACACGGGGACAGGGAGACAGAGACACAGAGACACGGGGACAGGGAGACAGAGACACGGGGACAGGGAGACAGAGACACAGAGACACGGGGACAGGGAGACAGAGACAGAGAGACACGGGGACAGGGAGACAGAGACACAGAGACACGGGGACAGGGAGACAGAGACACGGGGACACAGAGTCAGACACACAGAGACAAAGACACGGGGACAGAGAAACACGGAGACGGAGACACGGGGACAGAGACACGGGGACAGACACACGGAGACAGAGACACGGAGACAGACACACGGAGACAGAGACACGGACACAGACACACGAGGACAAGGACACACATACGGAGACAGCGGGACACGAGGCTCCCAACAAGATACTCCACTGGCTGAATGGTGGTAAGGTTCCAGTCACTCTCTCCACTCTAGTCACTGTCTCTAGTCACTGTCTCTACTGTCTCTAGTCACTGTCTCTACTGTCTCTAGTCACTGTCTCTAGTCACTGTCTCTAGTCACTGTCTCTACTGTCTCTAGTCACTGTCTCCAGTCACTGTCTCCAGTCACTGTCTCTAGTCACTGTCTCCAGTCACTGTCTCTAGTCACTGTCTCCAGTCACTGTCTCCAGTCACTGTCTCTAGTCACTGTCTCTAGTCACTGTCTCTAGTCACTGTTTCCAGTCACTGTCTCTAGTCACTGTCTCTAGTCACTGTCTCTAGTCACTGTCTCCAGTCACTGTCTCTAGTCACTGTCTCTAGTCACTGTCTCTACTGTCTCTAGTCACTGTCTGTAGTCACTGTCTCTAGTCACTGTCTCTAGTCACTGTCTCCAGTCACTGTCTCTAGTCACTGTCTCTAGTCACTGTCTCCAGTCACTGTCTCCAGTCACTGTCTCTAGTCACTGTCTCTAGTCACTGTCTCTACTGTCTCTAGTCACTGTCTCTACTGTCTCTAGTCACTGTCTCCAGTCACTGTCTCTAGTCACTGTCTCTACTGTCTCTAGTCACTGTCTCTAGTCACTGTCTCTAGTCACTGTCCCCAGTCACTGTCTCTACTGTCTCTAGTCACTGTCTCTAGTCACTGTCTCCAGTCACTGTCCCCAGTCACTGTCTCTAGTCACTGTCTCCAGTCACTGTCTCTACTGTCTCCAGTCACTGTCTCCAGTCACTGTCTCTAGTCACTGTCTCTAGTCACTGTCTCTAGTCACTGTCTCTAGTCACTGTCTCTACTGTCTCTAGTCACTGTCTCTAGTCACTGTCTCCAGTCACTGTCTCCAGTCACTGTCTCTAGTCACTGTCTCTACTGTCTCTAGTCACTGTCTCTAGTCACTGTCTCTAGTCACTGTCCCCAGTCACTGTCTCTACTGTCTCTAGTCACTGTCTCTAGTCACTGTCTCTAGTCACTGTCTCTAGTCACTGTCTCTAGTCACTGTCTCCAGTCACTGTCTCTAGTCACTGTCTCTAGTCACTGTCTCTACTGTCTCTAGTCACTGTCTCCAGTCACTGTCTCTAGTCACTGTCTCTAGTCGCTGTCTCTAGTCACTGTCCCCAGTCACTGTCCCCAGTCACTGTCTGCAGTCACTGTCCCCAGTCACTGTCTCCAGTCACTGTCCCCAGTCACTGTCCCCAGTCACTGTCCCCTGACTCCGTTGTCCTCCGCAGACTCCGCCGGGCTGGCGAGGATGAAGCTGCCACTGCGTGTGGCCCTCGCGGGCTGCGTCCTCTTGCTGTGCGGGGTTCTCTACGCACTCGGGTGGACGTCTGCTCTGCTGTTCGAGTTCAGGGGTGGAGGAGGAGGTGGAGGTGGAGGAGGAGGTGGAGGAGGAGGTGGTGGGGCCCCGGTGCTCAGCCGCGAGCTTCACCTGCACGGTGCCCGCGCTCAGCCGCCGGCCTTCGGCGTGAGGTACCAGAACGAAGGCCGTTGCGAGCTTGGTGGCCTTTTGTGCTATTATTATTTACACGCTTTTCATTCGCTCACTCTGTTGTTGTTGTTGTATCCTCAAATCTTGTAACTCAATTTCAACCCACTTCCCAATGTGGTATCGACTGCAAACTTATGCCATACCGATGACAATACTACATTCCGTCGTTAAAAATTAAAAAGAATATTCTTTTTTTAAACCATCTTTTTTACATGTTATGTTTCGGCTTGGGTCTAAGTGTCCACGGTCAACTGACGTTGGCTGTTACAGACAACACTCGCCCTATCGTTGTGGCAAGGGGCCACTTGCTGGAGCCGTGGAGTTCTGACGTTAACTAGTACGGTACATTTCATTGGAGCGTGTTTTTAAGAAAAGTAGTTTTTTAACAATATTACTTATTGTGTTGGCGGTCACTGGCGACCTCGCTGAGACCCGTAGTAAACTCCCGTCAACGGCAACCGCCTTCAGCAGTGGCCTTCTCGTCCCGTAGTTAAAGCATTCATCTGATACAGAGGTGCCGCAACCTCTGGAATTCCTATCTGCACGTTGCCAAACTATCATCATCCCTCACCGACTTCAAGCAGAGACTTAAACGGGTCAGTCTGGTGAGCCAAACTACCAATGTAGTCACCTCCATGTAGCCTAACTCTCACACACAAAAACAAAACACCGAGTTAAACGTGTGGAAAGTTAATTCGTTTGTATTGTTTAACTGATTGTACAATCGGCTTTGTATATACATTGTTCATTTCTTTCGGTGGTGTTTTTCATAGAAGCCCTCTTGGGTTTTCCAACCTCACCTCTGCACCACCTCTTTTATTTTTTACCTCTTTCTATGAGCACTGTTTAACTTTCGCTTGTTTTTCGTTGTTGTGAGAATAAACAACACAAAATAACACACCGGTATTCTTGGTTTCTCTCGGTAAAGTCATGTGAAAGGGAAAGAATAAAATAATAAAATTTAAACAATCACATTTTATTGTTTCCCTTCTCCGTGGTGACTTTACCGAAAGAACCAATAATGTGAATCCCTGCGGTCACGAAATCTTTCAATCGAAATATAATGCATCTGCTTGGCACGGCAGTCTCAGCTGAGCTGCCGCTGGACGGCTATGTCGCCCATCTGGACTAATGGGGCGTCAAAGAAGCGTGGTTTCCCCCTCCGTGCCAAAGCCGCTTCTGCGCGCAAGCACAGAGGAATCAGCCGACGCTGGAATCCTCCTGCTGTCTCTACATCTGGAGGGGAGAGACCCAGTTCGCGCCTCGCTGCACATGACAAGAGTTCAGAGTAAAGCAGTTAGGGGGGTGGGGTCGATGACCCAGCACTTGCCAGTTCACCCCAGTCGCTCGATAGGCGGCAGTCAGTCGCCTCCTGTTCACTCGTCTTTCGCGACCCCCCATGAAGTACTTATTCACGTGTTAAAACGGCTTGAACGTGGTTTTTTTTTTCCTTTCACGCACGTTTATATATAATTTAACCTCGAAATTTGATAAGCGCACGCACGCACGCACGTTGAGCTTCTTTCGCTCCGCACGTGGCCACCCGCGCAGCCGGACGGAATCCTAAATGGCGCCCGCCGTTTCGCAGCGAGCGCCTGCGGCAGCAGCGGCGCAGGCTGCGCCGGGCCGAGACGATGCACGTGGCCGTGGTGGCGTGCGGCCAGAGGGTGAACGAGACGCTCGTCATGGCCAAGTCGGCCGTGCTCTTCAGCCGCAAGCACCTGCACTTCCACATCTTCGCCGAGCGGCAGCTCCACCGCAGCTTCGCCGAAAGCGTACGTTGGGCGATGCCAACGCCGCAGGGCCCCCCCCCCCCTCCCCACGCCCCCCCCCCACGCCCCCCACGCCTCCACGTCCCCCACGCCCGCTGCCCCGGCTCCTACGGGCCGCTTGCTCGGCCGTATATCCACGTTACGCGGTCTCGCCTCCGACAGTCTGGTCACGACTGTACGGGGGTGTCTTTGGTGCCGCCGGCGACGAGACGTTGAGCTGCCTCGCCTGGTGTACGCTTTGAGGTCGTGCCCTTTGATCCCCCGACCCTGACCCCTGCTGTATATTTGGAGTTTGCGTGCGTGCGTGCGTGCGCGTGTGTGTGTCTCTCTCTCTCTCTCTGTCTCACCCCGTGGTCGCGTCGATCCTTCTCCGTGACCTCCGGTTTTTCCCTCCACATTTAGAATCGCGCATTGAGATTGCTCAGGTTATTTTTGGGTCCTGTGAATGTCCAAATGATGGGCCGCGTTGGTGGCCGCTGCACATCTCCACGTGATAATCCCCTTCGTCGGGCTATCATTTGAGGCCACGTCGCGTCTGAAAAAAAGAGCCTAATAGCCCCGTAGGCTTTGCCTGGTAAAATAAAATTTTAAAAAATGGTTTCGTTTTTATCAAGTAAAACGTTTTACTTACAGTTTAGAGGTCTCTTTGCGAGCGAGTCTAGGGCCCGGTGGTGGGATACGGTTAGTGGCTGCGCATCGACCGTGCGGGACCTGGCGGAGGGTCGAAAGCATTGGGAGCGACATGTGGTGGCACCGACAACTTTGGCCGGGATGGCACCTGCGCAGAGACTTAGCGGCGACGTTATCAGCTCGGGGGGGGGGGGGTGGGTGGGTGGTACGGCAAATCGGTCATGTTGGGGCCCCAATATTGTGATTTGTCTCGCACGGTCGCACCCACGCTGCTACGTATTGCGGCTCCTCTAATCGCATCGTCATTACCCTCACGGCCTCGAACGGTTCACGCCGTCAGGGCACTCCGTCTTCGCAAGATGCGGTCACGACAGCTCCGTGGCACGGTGCTTGTCAAGGGGGGGGGGGGGGGGGGGGCCCCCCAACTCGTAGCTTCGGTCGCCAGGGGAGGGCCGAGGCACCCCCTGGACCGCCACGCTCGTTACGCAACGTCACCTTGGTCCTGATGTTGTTGCTGAAGCGAGGAATGGCTCGTCGATTGTGCATCTCCCCCTACCGCGGGCAGCTTGACTCGTGGCCGGACGAGTATCGGAAGAAGTACAACTTCTCCGTGTACCCCATCACGTTTCCCAAGGAGTACGCCGAGGAGTGGCGGCAGCTCTTCAAGCCCTGTGCCTCCCAGCGCCTCTTCCTGCCGGTGAGAGACCACCCATGTCTGCGTATCGCAACATCGCCGGGCGCCGTAGGGTGCAGGCGGCTCGCTGCAGCGCCGGATGGGTGCTGGATGATGTTCAACACGCGCACGCTGTGGCTACGCGCATTAAGGAGGCTGGGACATCCTGCAACGAGCCTCGATGCTCTCTGGGGCCGCCACCCTGGCGAGATGTTAACTGCCTCGCCAGGTATGCAGGAGGTCGTGGGTTTTTAATCCCGACCCTGACGCCTGTATTTTTGGGAGTTTGCGTGTTTCTTTCCCACCGTGGTCACGTGGATTTTTCTCCGGGTCCTCCGCTTTTTCCCCTTAACATTTATAAGCACGCGCTCAAGAGTATTTCGCTGCTATAAATTTCCACACGATGATGATCCACTTTTTCGTTGAGCTATCATTTGTGGCCGGGTCGCTTCTGAAAAAGAGCTACGTAGCTCAGTGAGGCCTTACGTGGTAAAATAAAAATAAAAAAAAATTTGATTTAAAGCTTTCGTGACTGCAGTAATTCATATTCTTAGCTCTTTCGGTAAAGTCACGTTGAAGGGAAACAATAAAATAATAAAATATATATAAAACAATAAAAATTCTCACGACGTTTCGACCATAACAACAAACGGTCAAAACGTCGTGAGAATTTGTTTTATTGTTTTAATATATATTTTATTATTTTATTGTTTCCCTTCAACGTGACTTTACCGAAAGAGCTAAGAATATAAAAAAAAATAGTTTAGAAACAACGACAACCCAATTTCACATTGACTTAAGAAATGTCCTCTCTGGGCGGCATTAAAACTTTATAGAACGTCACCCAGCCGACCCGGATCTCGAATGACAACCTGTCCTGATGTTCAATTGAAAACCACCGTTGTCAAACGGTAAACCGGTGAGCCGTTTTCAGAATCGGTAACCAATTCCAGCGCAGTGGCAGTAGCGAGCGCACGCGTCGGCACGCGCACGCCCGAACGTTCAAACCACGCGGCGTAGGTCTACGTCACCACGTGGTACATTCACCCCCTCGCCTCTCGGCCAGAGGCACAGCCCCGCAGAAGAACCTCAGCTAGAGGGAGTGGATTGTTCGGTCTACCCTTCCACACTGACCAGATGTCTTGGAAGAAGTGGGCCCACCCGCACATTCACCCCCCCCCCCCACCACCACGTGCCACCCGCCGATCGGCTAGCCAGGCGGTCGGCGGGTGGCTTACACACGCCGATAATCCGGCGCTGCGGAGGCTCGGTGGATCGGACAAACGTTGCGAGACTGCCTTCCCGTACGGCGCCGAGGAGGCGCCGTACCCCCCGGCTTGCCTGCAGTGTCGCGGTGCGGCAAAGCGATCGGCGAATATCGACCCGTCCCGTCTCTGTGCTCGTGGGGCCCTCTTGCGCCTGCGTGGGGTTTCTCCGGGTGCTCCGGTTTCCTGCGCTCGTGCAAACACGTGTGGTGCGCGAAGGGCCCGCCGGCGGGCTGAAACATCTTCATTAGTGGAGAACTGCGGATCAAACGTCGGCGCGCTGGCTTTGAGCCTGGCATCATTCCTGCTTGGGTCCTGTTGTTCCTCAGCGGATTGCGAGGTGCAATTTTCACGAACAACATTGTGCGTACTCTTTGGTTCTATTCGGTAAAGTCACGTAGTAGGTAAAAAAACATAAAACAACAAAAAATCACGACGTTTCGGCCACAACACAAGCGGCCTCCATCAGGTGAAGGGACCGGGCTGTCTCGAGGACTGCGCTGGAGTGAAACACAGAGCCAAGCTCAGACCGCGACCTTTAAGCTGTGTGAGAGGGATTGAGGTGCCTTGACAAAGGAATTAGCATAAAAAAAATAGCATTTGATTGGCGGACTTAGCATGATGAAAGGTGTAGCACGCGGCAGTGCACCTTTAAGCTGTGTGAGAGGGGTTAAGGTGCCTCGACAAAGGAATTAGCATAAAAAAAAATTAGCATTTGATTGGCGGACTTAGCATGATGAAAGGTGTAGCACGTGGCAGTGCACCTTTAAGCTGTGTGAGAGGGGTTAAGGTGCCTCGACAAAGGAATTAGCGTAAAAAAAATTTGTCGAGGCACCTTGATCCCTCTCACACAGCTTAAAGGTCGCGGTCTGACCTTGGCTCTGTTTCACTCCAGCGCTGTCCTCGAGACAGCCTGGTCCCTTCACCTGATGAAGGCCGCTTGTGTTGTGGCCGAAACGTCGTGATTTTTGTTGTTTTATTTTTTTACCTACTACGTGACTTTACCGAATAGAACCAAAGAGTACGATGGATCCTTGCAGTCACGAAAGCTTCAAATCTAGAACCTTTTATACATATGAAGTAATCACATTTTTTTTGTTTACTGTACTGGACCCATTTATGCTGCTGGGTGGACAGAGGTGGGGGGGGAGGGGATTTGATAACATTTCCACATTGATAGAAATGAACTGGATTGCAAGTCCAGTGCGCTAAACCATCGCTGCATGGCACCTCTGTTGGCTTCTCAGTTAAGGTGGTGGAACGAGTTGAGTCATGGGTACCTTGATCAAGGGGCCTTTTTGCCAGTATCAAAAGTATGAAAAAAGAGGGTTTACCCTTTCTGGCAATAAAGCAGGCGTTTAGATATTCACACACCGAACAGACACCTTTTGCAACGAAAATCAAGTCCGCATTCACCACGGCACGGTACTTGCGGTGATGGTGCAAACAAGCACTCATTATTTACGCACGCATTGCCTTTGAAGCTGATTGGCCTACACCAGAGACTACAGCCTGCTTTATGGCCCAATCTCGCCAGTGTCAGACCGGGGAACAGCGCCAAAAGGGCGCGCAAAACGAACGCATTCAGCGCGTAAAAACTAACGTGCTCCTTTCGTTCCGCGCTTGACATGTCTGCTTGTGCGGCAAACTGGGGGGGCCCGGGGGGGGGGGAGGGGGGAGGGGGGTGGGTTGTGCATCGGTTGCCGCTGCCCCTCCAGCCCTGACCACTCGCGTCCCCTCCCCCCGCGCCACTTTGCCCGGCTCAGACTCTGCTGGCCGACGTGGACTCGCTCCTGTACGTGGACACGGACATCCTGTTCCTGCGCGCCGTCGACGACCTGTGGGCGATGCTGCGGACGTTCACCGCGGTGCAGGCGGCCGCCGTCGCCCCCGAGCACGAGGAGCCGCGCGTCGGCTGGTACAGCCGCTTCGCCCGGCACCCCTACTACGGCGCGACGGGCATCAACTCCGGCGTGATGCTGTTCAACCTCACGCGCGTGCGAGCGGCCACGTACAAGGTGCGCGCTGTTGAGTACCTCGCCTGGCACGCGGGATGGTCGTGGGTTCGTACACGGCGTTGAGTACCTCGCCTGGTATACGGGATGGTCGTGGGTTCGTATACGGTGTTGAGTACCTCGCCTGGTATACAGGAGGTCGTGGGTTCGTACAAGCTGCGCGGTGTTAACTACCTCGCCTGGTATACGGGAGGTCGTGGGTTCGTATAAGGTGTTGACTACCTCGCCTGGTATACAGGAGGTCGTGGGTTCGTACAAGCTGCGCGGTGTTAACTACCTCGCCTGGTATACGGGAGGTCGTGGGTTCGTATAAGGTGTTGACTACCTCGCCTGGTATACAGGAGGTCGTGGGTTCATACACGGTGTTGACTACCTCGCCTGGTATACGGGAGGTCGTGGGTTCGTACACGGTGTTGACTACCTCGCCTGGTATACGGGAGGTCGTGGGTTCAATCCTAACCCAAACGATGTCTGTATAATTGGAGTTTGCGCGTCTCTCTCACCCCTTTGGTCGCATGGATATTTCTCCTGTCCCTCCGGTTTTTCTCTCCACATTTCGAATCAACGTGCGTTCAAAGCGTCAGGCCGCTATACACTTCCACGGGATGATAAAGCGACTCCGTTGAGCTGTCATTGGTGGCCCCCCGGGTAGCTTCTGACGAAGCAGCGACATGGCTCAGTGGGACCTTACCGGGTAAAATAAAAAGTAGCCGAGTTTGCCGTTTAGGCGCCTTGCGTCAGCTGTCCCCTCCAGTGGTTCGCGCACCGCGCGGACATCACAGCACGCACGGCACGACGGCGCTCACAGTACGATGGCACGCGAGTCACCGTGTGCACGCACGTTGAACTTCTTTTTGCACCGTACGTAGCCAACCGTGCCCGTCGGAGGCGCTCCTGTTGCCGTGCGTGCCGCCGCTGCGACATGTTTGCGGCCGCTGATTTGTGGGTTTCCGCTGAAGCCGTCCCGTGCTTTCTGTCGACGCAGAATGACATGAGCCCTGTGCAGCTGCAGTGGGAGGAGATGCTGCTGCCGCTGTACAAGAAGTACAAACTGAACATCACCTGGGGGGACCAGGATCTCCTCAACATCATCTTCCACCACAACCCCGGTGAACAGCTGCTCGGAGCTCGGCGGCGGGCGCCGAGAGGGAGTACGGGATTTCAGTATTGCCTCGTTATTCACGCGACCTTGATGTCGGCGATGCTGGGCTGTCTGCGAGCTGCACTCGGAACTCAGAATCCCTAGAGAGAGCGGGAAAGAAAGTGAGGGTGTACGGCAACGGGAGGGAATTGTGATGCGATAAAGTGATGGGAATCGCGGTCATCGTCACCGTTGTCAGCGTCACCGTTACTGTGCAGCATCGGAATCTAACGCGAGTTAATTTACAAACTGTTTATCTAATACTCTCCTATTTATTTGTTTTTAACTTTAGGTTTGTTATTACCGATTTAAAAAAAAAAATATATATAGTGTTGTGACAATTGCCATGTATATTTGATCTCGATTTGAAGCCGTCGTGACCGCAGGAATCCACGCACTTTGGTTCTTTCGGCAAAGTCACGTGGGCAGAAAACAAATAAATAAATACATCACGACATTTCGATTGCGACGCAAGCAATCGCCATCATCAGGTGTGACAACCACAGCAAGAGACAAATTTTTTTTTTTTACCGAAGTGGGAGAGATGCCGGAGTTAAGAGGGTTTGTGTAAGTCAGAGAGGGCGGTGGGGGAAATGAGGAGAGGTGGGGGAGAGCGTTGCGTGTGCGATGACGACTGGGATCATAAGACTGGGCAGAGGTGGGGGGGGCGCTGTAAGTGACCTGACGTGGTGTCAGGTGCGGAGAGGAGGGCAAAACGGCTACACGATTGCCGCCAAGACAGATGCATTCTGACCGCTTGTGTTGTGGTTATTGCAAACATGACGCCTTGTATGAAGGTGTCAGTTTTTTTGTGCCAGTCAAAAGGGTAAAAACCTATTACTATATATCTTGTTACCGGCAAAGGAGGTCTCGTAACGTTGGTAGTTTTTGACCCCCGGGATTTCTATTCGGTTTTGTGATTTATTTATTTTTTTGCGCTCCGATTGAAATTGTCTCCATCGTTGAACGTTTTTCTTTCTCCTGCCGTTGCTTGCGTCACTTTCGGTGACCCGTGGCCACGTATATATTTTTTTTTTTTGCGAACGAGACTCTCCCTTGCCTCTGTAGTTTTTTTTTAGCCCCCTCGTTGCATTTTCGAATACGAGCACGGCGCTGAGCAACAACCGGGCATCGACCCTCCCCCCTCGCCTCTCTGCCTCGACGTCGCTTCGTGGTGAAGCGAAACTTGCACCCTTTTTTTTCCGTCGACGTTTTGGCGAGACCGCAGAAATGCTCCACGTGTTCCCGTGCGAGTGGAACTACCGTCCGGACCACTGCATGTACGGCAGCAACTGCAGGAGCGCCGACACGCACGGAGTCTTCGTCCTCCACGGGAACCGCGGAGTCTACCACGACGACAGGCAGCCGGCCTTCCGCGCCGTGTACGACGCCATCCACAACGTACGGGACTCGTACGGGAACGTTTACGTTTCGAAATGGACGTCACGCGCGCTTTATCTGTTATGGCGGCGTACACCGGACGTTAAAGCGGGATCGGGTGCGTGACTGCTGATATAAGTTTACACGTGGTGGTGGTGGTGGTGATGATGGTGATGGTGGTGATGATAAGCCACTTCGTTGTTTGAGCCGTCATTCGTGATGGCCAGGTCACTTCTGAAAACGAAGCTAAATAGCTCATTAGGACTTTACTTGATTAAAAAAAAACACCACATTTATTTGTATATATTTTTTGTTAAAGTTGTTTACATTGCCTCAATTTTTTTGCACTTTTATTGTATCTTTGTATTTCGATTTAAAGCTTTCGTGACTGCAAGGATTCATCTTCTTTGGTTCTTTCGGTAAAGTCACGTAGAATGAGAATAAAATAATAAATTAATAAAATAAAATAACACAATCAAATTCTCACGACGTTTCGGCCACACACGACAGAGCTTCAATGAACGTTCATTGAAGCTCTGTCGTCCCGACAGGTCTGTTCCTTTCACCTGAAGAAGGCCACTTGTGTTGTGGCCGAAACGTCGTGAGAATATTATTGTTATTTTATTGTATTAATTTATTATTTTATTCTCATTCTACGTGACTTTACCGAAAGAACCAAAGAAGATATTTTTGTATTGTTCGTCGTTGTAATGTTCTGATCCGTTCCGACTGGACTTCTGTGATGAAAGAGCTTTACAGCTCATCGAATTACTCGGGGATAAATAAACATTCAGATTCTGAGGCAATGGAAACGCCACCGAATAAACATGCAGGGAATGCACCGCATTCACATCTCCATCCCACCTAGCTAAGGAGGCATTGGAGAAGCTTGGTTTTAAATGATTAAAAGTAAAACTAAACTATTTTTATATTCTTAGTTCTTTCGGTAAAGTCACGTTGAAGGGAAACAATAAAATAATAAAATATATATAACGATAAAAATTCTCACGACGTTTCGACCATAACACAAACGGTCGTCTTCAGGTGTGTGGGTTTAGAAGACGACCGTTTGTGTTATGGTCGAAACGTCGTGAGAATTTTTATTGTTTTATATGTATTTTATTATTTTGTTGTTTCCCTTCAACGTGACGTTACCGAAAGAACTAAGAATATGAATTACTGCAGTCACGAAAGCTTTAAATCAAAATGTAAACTATTTTTTTTATTTTGACAGGTAACGCCCACTGAGCTACGTATCTCTTTTACAGACGCGACCTGGCCACAAATGATAGCTCAACGAAAAGTGGCTTACCACGTGGAAGTGTATAGCAGCCAAATGCTCCAAACGCGCGACATTGATTCAAAATGTGGAGGGAAAAGCCAGAGGACACCGGACGAGTGTGCAAACTCCAAATATCCGGGCGTCTTGGTGGGGATCAAATCCAACACCTCCTATATACCAGGCGATGGCAGTTAACATCTGGTCAAATCTAAACAATGATCACTGCGGCCACACACAGCACAGAGTCAGCTGAAGCCGGAATCCTTCTGCTGTCACATATCTGGGGTGGAGCTCCCAGTTCCTACCCTCACTGCACTTGATAGAATTCAGAGTAAAGAAGGCCAGGTGAGCGGTGATCCAGCACTCACTCCAGTCACTTGCTCACTGGCGATCAGCCTCCTAATGGCTCTTCTGTTGCCACTACCACGATGATTGTTCCCGTAAACTGCACCTATTGATTCTCACGCTGAACAAAAAGAGCTACATCGCTCAGTGGGCCTTGTCTGGTTAAATTGAATAGTTGTTAAATTAAATAGTCGTATTAGCGTGTGCTTGGCTCGTCGCAGCAGCCATTGGCGTTTGCGTGCGATCACGCCGTGGCTCCGCGTGCCGCACGCTACTACAAGGCGCTCGGCGCTCCTAAAATAAATGCACTCCTCAGAAGGCTGTGTTGCCGCTGGGAAGAGTAAAACAAAAACAAAAACATTTAAAACGGAGACGCTGAAATGGAAGGGTAGCGCATTACCAACTTTAGTGTGGGGGGAGGGGGGGGGGGTTATTTTTGATCACTGCCCGATACGATAGCTTCGCAAACGGTGCTGGTCGTCAGTTTGCGCATGAAGTCGCCTCGTCCACAAACGTTCGGGTCAGAAACCACGTCGCCCGACCGGGCCTCCCAAAACAAAAACGACAACAACAAAAACCACGCGGACCAAAAAAAAATTCACTGCCATCTTATCCGTTGTTGTTTGTTGTTATTGTTGTTTCCTCTGCCCCGCCCGTTCACAGTTCCCCTTTGACGAGAACCTCTTCCAGTCTCTGCTTTATCCCCTGGAGCGCCAGCTGCTCGCCACGGTGCACACTCACTGCGGACGCTCCTCCCACCTCTTCACGCGCCAGCTGCAGCGCACCATGCGGGCGGTGTACGACAAGATGGGGCTCGCCTCCTAGGGGGCGCCAGCAAGGAGACGCGCCCCCAATGACACGTTCTGTTAGGCGCCGTGCGTGTGTGTGTGTGCTGTTGGTGTGTGTGTGGTGTGTGTGTGTGCTGTTGGTGGTGTGTGTGTGTGTGTTGTTGGTGGTGTGTGTGTGTGCTGTTGGTGGTGTGTGAGTGGGGTGTGTGTGCTGTTGATGGTGTGCGTGGTGTGTGCGTGTGTGTGTGCTGTTGGTGGTGTGTGCGTGGTGTGTGTGTGTGCTGTTGGTGGTGTGTGAGTGGTGTGTGTGTGCTGTTGATGGTGTGCGTGGTGTGTGCGTGTGTGTGTGCTGTTGGTGGTGTGTGCGTGGTGTGTGTGTGTGCTGTTGGTGGTGTGTGCGTGGTGTGTGTGTGTGCTGTTGGTGGTGTGTGTGTGTGCTGTTGGTGGTGTGTGTGTGCTGTTGGTGGTGTGTGTGTGTGCTGTTGGTGGTGTGTGTGCTGTTGGTAGTGTGTGTGTGTGCTGTTAGTGGTGGTGTGTGTGCGTGGTGTGTGTGTGTGCTGTTGGTGGTGTGTGTGTGTGTGCTGTTGGTGGTGGTGTGTGTGTGCTGTTGGTGGTGTGTGAGTGGTGTGTGTGCTGTTGGTGGTGGTGTGTGTGGTGTGTGTGTGTGCTGTTGGTGGTGTGTGCGTGGTGTGTGCTGTTGTTGGTGTGTGTGCTGTTGGTGGTGTGTGAGTGGTGTGTGTGCTGTTGGTGGTGGTGTGTGTGTGCTGTTGGTGGTGGTGTGTGTGTGCTGTTGGTGGTGTGTGTGTGCTGTTGGTGGTGTGTGCGTGTGTGCTGTTGGTGGTGTGTGTGTGTGCTGTTGGTGGTGTGTGTGCTGTTGGTGGTGTGTGTGTGTGCTGTTGGTGGTGGTGTGTGTGTGCTGTTGGTGGTGTGTGAGTAGTGTGTGTGCTGTTGGTGGTGTGTGTGTGTGTGCTGTTGGTGGTGTGTGTGTGTGCTGTTGGTGGTGTGTGTGTGTGCTGTTGGTGGTGTGTGTGTGTGTGTGTGCTGTTGGTGGTGTTTGTGTGCGTGCTGTTGGTGGTGTGTGCGTGTGTGTGTGCTGTTGGTGGTGTGTGCGTGGTGTGTGCTGTTGTTGGTGTGTGTGTGTGCTGTTGGTGGTGTGTGTGCTGTTGGTGGTGGTGTGTGTGTGCTGTTGGTGGTGGTGTGTGTGTGGTGTGTGTGCGTGTGTGTGTGTGCTGTTGGTGGTGTGTGTGTGCTGTTGTTGGTGGTGTGTGCGTGGTGTGTGCTGTTGTTGGTGTGTGTGTGTGCTGTTGGTGGTGTGTGTGTGTGCGTGTGTGTGCTGTTGATGGTGTGCGTGGTGTGTGTGCGTGTGTGTGTGCTGTTGGTGGTGGTGCGTGTGTGTGTGCTGTTGTTGGGCTGTGTGTGCGTGTGTGTGTGCTGTTGGTGGTGGTGTGTGCGTGTGTGCTGTTGTTGGTGGTGTGCGTGCGTGTGTGTGTGCTGTTGTTGGTGGTGTGTGTGCGTGTGTGTGTGCTGTTGGTGGTGGTGTGTGCGTGTGTGCTGTTGTTGGGCTGTATGTGCGTGTGTGTGTGCTGTTGGTGGTGTGTGCGTGGTGTGTGCTGTTGTTGGTGGTGTGTGTGCGTGTGTGTGTGCTGTTGATGGTGTGTGCGTGTGTGTGTGCTGTTGGTGGTGTGTGCGTGGTGTGTGCTGTTGGTGGTGTGTGTGTGTGTGTGCTGTTGTTGGTGGTGTGTGCGTGTGTGTGCGTGTGTGTGTGCTGTTGTTGGTGTGTGAGGTGTGTCTGCGTGGTGTGTGCGTGTGTGTGTGCTGTTGTTGGTGTGTGAGGTGTGTCTGCGTGGTGTGTGCGTGGTGTGTGCTGTTGGTGGTGTGTGTGTGCTGTTGGTGGTGTGTGCGTAGTGTTTGCTGTTGGTGGTGTGTGCGTGGTGTGTGCTGTTGGTGGTGCGTGGTGTGTGCTGTTGTTGGTGTGTGAGGTGTGTCTGCGTGGTGTGTGCGTGGTGTGTGCTGTTGGTGGTGCGTGCGTGTATGTGTGCGTGTATGTGTGCGTGGTGTGTGTGTGCTGTTGGTGGTGTGTGCTGTTGGTGGTGTGTGTGTGCTGTTGGTGGTGTGTGTGTGTGTGCTGTTGGTGGTGTGTGTGTGTGTGCTTTTCGTGGTGTGTGTGTGTGCTTGTAGCGTAGCGGTTAGCGCTACGCTGCGCTACCAACCCGGCCACCCGGGTTCGATTCCCGCTCACGGCCAACACCAGTGACGATTATCTGAACCGGTCCTGGGCCTCCCCTAGGTCGACTCAGCCTGAAATGAGTACCTGGTGCGTGGTGTGTAAACAAAGGCGGTCGGGCGTGGTGGCTGGCCACCCACCCCGTCGTGTACCGTTCCGGCCTTCACAGGTGCTGCTCGCTAACAGCACTTGCCCCAACAGTCTGTTGCAGGCTACACGGGGGATCTTTGTTTGTGTACCGTGTTGTATGTCCAGGGCTGTGTTTGTGCAGTATGCGTGTGGCCGCGGTGTGTGTGTGTGTGTGTGCTGTTGGTGGTGTGTGGTGTGTGCTGTTGGTGGTGTGTGTGTGTGCTGTTGGTGGTGTGTGTGTGCTGTTGGTGGTGTGTGTGTGCTGTTGGTGGTGTGTGTGTGTGCGTGTGCGTTGGGCTGTCTAGCACTGGAGAGAAGAGTGCACTTTTCGGTTCTCGTCCCAGTTACATTTTTATTTTTTTTTAAACCTCGCGCCACCGGCAACTTCGTCGCGAGGAAGAGACGCGCGGCCGTTGGGAACTCTCGGACCCGCGTCGGGCTAACAGCAGAGCCCCCCGGAAGACGACGTCCCCGGCGACGCGTCGAGTCGTCCGAGGTGCCCCCTACTCGAGCCGTCGCGATGTCGCTGCCTCCTCCGGCGTGGCCGTTCGCGGAAGAGAAGAAACCCATCGGGGGGGGGGGGCCGGGGGGCCGGGGGGCCGGGGGGGGGGCGGTGGCGGTGTTGGGTGGTTGAGATCGCCAACAGGAGACGGCGTGGACTACGTTTACAAAAACTTTTTGTTTTTGCCTTTCATTACCCAGCCGCTGCATGGAGATGCATTAGGTCTGCTTTTAAATGCCCGCCGGGTTCAAATAGGCGAGCGAAGACGCGCGCCCCCCTCCCCTCCCCCCGTCCGCATGTCTGCGCCTCGGGTACGTGAAGGCGGTGCGAATTGTGGTCTTATTTATTCCGGCTGTGTACTGTGTAGTTTTGTGTGCGCGAGCTCGGACCCATGTCTAACAGAGAGGGAGGGGGGGGGGTGTTCTTGGCCGGAAACATTGCCTGACGTCTCATCGGCATCGGCAAAAGCAAGCCTTGCCGATGAGACATTTGCGTGCCGAAGATCAGCCCAAGGGGGCTTTGCTTTGTGTTGAAGCAACGCTGCTAAAAATGTTGCCCTCCCAGAAGGCCGTGTGGCTGATGGAATGTGTAAAATACTTTAGATTATTTTTTTTTTACGTGGACGGACGGACAGACAGATATATATTTGTAATATAAATGGGCGCATGTAAGTTCACAGAAATGGGAAATCTATGTCACGTGAAAATATCCCACGTTGCCTGCGCAGCATATCGAGTGTGAGTTGCTGTTGCGGATGCCAACCTGCCTGGGTTTATTTCCCTGCCAGTCAGCAAAGTCGGTGTTTGTGTTTTGGGTGGCAGCCAAATGCTTTGTACGGAGATCTGGTACCAGTGTTGTGTTGAACTTTATAACGGAAGACCGCACGGTTTTGACAGACCAAGGCTGTCCCGCCACCGTGACACGCCACGGTGGCCAGGAGATGTTTACTCCCTCGCCTGGTATGCAGGAGGTCGTGGGTTCGATCCCGACCCTGATGCCCGCTGCTGCTGTATATTTGGAGTTTGCGTATTCCCCTCTACCTGTGGTCGTGTAGATTTTTTTTTTTATCTTCGGAGGCCCTCCGGTTTATAACCTCCTCCAGATTTAGAAACACGCGTTTAAGAGTATTTGGCGGCTATAAGTGTCCACGTGGTAAGCCGCCGCCTCGTTCAGCTGTCAGTTTGTGATAGAGCCAGGTCGCTTCCGAGAAAAGTTGCGACATAGCTCAGTGGGCCTTACCTGGTCAAATAAATCGCAGTATAAGTATGCTTGGCAATAATGGTCTGTGCAAAAGCTGGCAGCCATTCGGCACATCGCAGCAGCCATTGGCATTTGCGTGTGATCACGCGGTGGCTCTGTGTGCCACACGCTACTACGGGGACTCCTCTACTTACGAACGTTCGACTTACGAACTTCCAGAGATACGAACAAACCTGTCCGTATGTCCAGTTGCCCCTGCTGCACAATAGATGGCGGTGGTGGCATCTACATCTGCGGACAGAACACGAAGAATCGGTGGCATCTACAGGAGACGATGCAGCTTTTAAAGCCATTCCTCGTGTTTATTGTACACGCCGTACAACGTGTTTGGAATCGACGGGAGCGAGGTTGGACTTGCGAACAAATCGACGTACGAGCTTACCTCTGGAACCGAACTCGTTCGTAAGCAGAGGAGTACCCTGTATAGGTTCACTGCATTTCTGTCCTGACGGTCGAGTCCCTACGCTGTCGTTCAGGCCGTTACAGTATTATCGTTACGCAAGGTGCGACTGCCCTCTCGAGAGATCGATGCCGCTGTCGGAGAGAGCTCTTGAGCGCAGGGCGTTCCAAACGATGCCGAGAGCTCAATCGGGGCTTCGGCCTCTCCCGGATCAGCCCTCGTTCGTTCTCAAACGCGGCGGAATTCGACGACGCCGCAGCCTGATCACCGTTGGCCGCAACAGAAGACACGAGGTGCTTTGGTTTGAATCTTCACTCAGGGCTACAAATGCGTAAATATGCTTCGTATGAAAAATAAGAATGGGGTTTTTTTATTTTTTATTTTCGTTGTTACCCCTTTCCGTCAAACAAACAGGAGATGTTAAGATGTTCATACACCAAATAGACACCTTTTGCAAGGAATCAAGTCCGCATTAACCACGTACATGCGGCGAGCATGGAAAACAAGCACGCTCTGATCATGTGTGGATAATATACGGATTGTCTTTAGAACTGATCGACCTACACCAGAGACGGCCTTTTTTTTTCATGGCCAGGGGTGGGCAACCTTTTTCTCTGCCAAGGGCCATTTGGATATTTATAAAACATCATTCGCGGGGCCGTACAAAATGATCAACTTAAAAATTAGCCCGTTTATATTTGGTCTAACATTGAATTAACTTAAAACCCCTAATGCGATCGGCTGGAACCGCTTCTCTTTGGCGAGGCGCGGTGATGATGATGATGTTAGCCGGCTATTGACGATGTTGCCGCTACTCGCTACTGCTTTTCCACGTTTGCTCCTACCTGGATTTATTGAATTTCGAGTCCCGCCTGCGATTGCCTTGGCAGGGCCGGAGACCCAATTATTTTGCGGGCCTCGCGGGTCGGACATTCCCCACCCCTGTTTCATGGCGTAGTCTCACCAGTGTCAGACAAGAGGCGAACAGCGCAGAGACGATGCACATATCAGAGCATTTGTAGTTCGGGGATGAGCAGCTACGTCTTGGGGGGGGGGGGGGGGACACCCCCTTTTCCCAGTAGGAATCGGTTTTACCCTTTGTTTGCGTGTTCACCACAAGCGCTGCGCGTTAATTCCTCGCAAAAAAGGTTTCTGTTAAGCGCGTTTGGACATCTTAACAGCGGTTTTATTGGCAGGAAGGGTCAAACTGAACCCTTGTTTTTCATACTTTAATACTTCCAAATGAAGGTCCCATTGCGTGCGGGTTGTGCAGTCCTCACACAGGCGCCCGGGTGCTTGCGAGGCTGCGGTGGGGGGGGGGGGCCCTTGGAAGAGACCTTCGGCACAAGGCAACAAGCGAGCTTCGAGGCATTTCTGCTCGTCTGCTTGCTGCCCTGAGGCCAGAGGAGGGAATTCCACATTCCTACGGCGGAGGGACCAGAGTCTCGCTTCAAGGGGACAGCCACCACCCACGTTTTGGCGAAGGATGGTGGCTCTGCCGTCGAGCACAGCTGGGTAATTGGGACTTCGGAACAACGGGCATTGTGCTCGTGACCCGGCCAAGCCTGTGAGTGGCGACAGCGCGGAGCTTTGGGGGGGGGGGGAGGGTGGGGGGCTTGTTCGGTGTCCTGATCGCTCTTCAACTACAGCAGGACTGCCACAACGCGCGATCCGTAGCGCGCTGCGCCAGGCGCGCGCCGTGTTTAGCAGGGGGCGATAGCCGCCTCGTATTTTTACGAACAAGATTGTATTGGGTTTTTTTTTTTGCAGCCATGGGACGTGAAACCGATGGTTGTTTTTTGTGTGTGTGTGTGTGTAAATTGCTACGTAACGTAGTAATCTTTGACATTCCGAAACGTGCGTGGCCCTTTGATCAGCTCTTGGCCGTCTTAAAAATTTGCTTTGGTTGTCTTGCAATGCCATCGTCCTCAAGTTGGCCAAAACATCCCAATATAGGACCACAGAGCTTGGGCAACTTGCGCGTTCAAAACGCCGCGGTGTTTATTTTTTCTGTCCGCAAATTCGCATGCGTTACGCTTTACATATATATTAAAAAAAAAACATTACAGTGTTATTACGATACGCAAGACTGGCTCGGCTTGGAGTTTGTCCGTGTTCCACGCTGCGCGCGGACGCTGTTGCCCGCCGCTGTTGCCCGCCGCTGTTGCCCGCCGCCACTGTGGAGTCAGCGACGATGGTTTGGTTTATCGGCACGATTGTTGGCAGGAAAAAACTTCATGCCCATGGGCAACGAGGAAGGGAGGCGGCCCGTGCCGTAGCTCGCCAGGAGACAGCGGCAGCGCGAGTTGTGGACCGATATCCACCGTCTCATCCGGATGGGATCGAGGATGACCCCCTCGCACGTGCGTGGGTTGAATTTCTTTGGCACCGTACGTAGCCAACGGTGGGTGCTCATCGCAGGTGCCGGGGGGAGGGGACGACGACAACTAATTAATTTACCGAAAATATGTATAGAGCGAGTCCTCTACTTACGAACATCCGACTTACGAACTTTCAGAGATGCGAACAAACCTGTCCGTATGTTCGGTCCGTATGCGGACATTGACGCCAGACGAAATACTTCTTGAACTCGTGACGTCGATTCTCAATGTGTGATGGGGGGGAAAAAAACGACGGACCCGGAGAAAAATCCACGCGACCACGGGGAGAGAGAGAGAGACACCGCAAAGTCCAAATATACGATCTCCTGTATACCAGGCGAGGTAGTTAACATCCCGCCACCGTGGCTACGGGGTTGCACCTTTTAAAATTCAGAGGAGCTGCATTTTAAACAACATAGAGCCTACATATTACACCCTCTGAGCTACTTAGCACTTTTTCAGAAGTTGACCTGATCATCACAAATGATAGCTCAACAAAGTTGGCTCATCATCATCATCATCACGTGGGAATTTATAACAGCAGCCAAATGCTCTGAACGCGTGACGTTGATTCTAAATGTGGAGGGAGAGACACGCAAAGTCCAAATATACAGCAGCAGCGGGCGTCATGGTCGGGATCGAACCCACGACATCCTGTATACCAGGCGAGGTAGTTAACATCTCGTCACCGCGGTGTTAATTGCAGTGTAACAAAACAATTGTCCCTGGGTAGTAAGTGTTATTTCCGAATTGCTTATGCCTCAAAAGTATGGAAAAATTGGCTTTTACTCCCCACAAACTTTGCGTTTGTGACCAGGACAGTGATATTTTGAAATGTACCTATGTTCAATGAAAGAACGGGCGAATTTGTGTCTTTTGCTCACATTAAGTAAGGCCTGGTCACAAAAGCAAAGTTCGTGGGGAATAATCCAATTTTCTAAACTTTTTAGGCATAAGCAATAAAAAATATATATTGCACTTAGTACCCAAGAATAAAAATTGTGTTACATGGTATTATGTATCAGAATGAGAATCCGATAAGCTATGAAGCGGCCAGCAATTTACATCAACGATACTAAAAAAACGACAAGAGGAAGATAGAGCAAATGTAAAGAAGTCGCTAAAGTTTAACACACTGCATTGAAGTACAAATTGCACGAGCCTTTAACATTGAAGTCTATGGGAGAATTTAACATTGAAGTCTAATAGGGGCCTTTATTTAACATTGAAGTCTATGGGAGGGAGCCTTTAACATTGAAGTCTATGCGATTTAACATTGTGTCTCTGCCCTCTATATAAAAAAAAAAGAATGTTACTGGTAGGAACCTCCCCTGGTTACACCACCAGCCCACAGGCGATTATTGTGTCCATCCGTCCGTCGTGCATCCAAAAATGGGAGGGGTGGGGCTGGGTGGAGAGGGGAGGGTGGGAAGGGAGGGGCTGGGTGGGGGGTGGGGAGGGGCTGGGTGGGGAGGGTGGGGAGGGGCTGGGTGGGGAGGGTGGGGAGGGGCTGGGTGGGGAGGGTGGTGCTGGGTGGGAGGGGTGGGGCTGGGTGGGAGGGGTGGGGCTGGGTGGGGAGGAGCTGCTCACCCCGTGGTGCCCTTATAAAACTCAACGTTTAACCTACTCAGCGCCGGCTTGTGCCCGCCCTCATAGTCGAGCATATTTGCGGAATACACCACGTGGTGCCGCCGTTGACCCTGGCCAATGACCGAGCGACCCAACGTTCCTACCAGCTCCCTCTGCAGGAATGTGTTTAAACCTCTGTATTTGGTGTTTGAACATCTTAACGCCTCTTGTTTTATTGCCAGGAGGGGTAAAGCCTATTCTTATTCATTTTTGACACTGGCAGAAAGGTCCCATAGATACACTATTGTTGGTAAACACACGACTGTTGGCACCGTGGTGGCGAGATGTTCACTCCCTTTGCCTGGTATGCAGGAGATTATGGGTTCAATCGCGACCCGAACGCCCGCTATAGATTTGGAGTTTGCGCGTTCTCTCTCTCTCTCTCACGCCCTCTCCACCGTGGTCACGTGGATTTTTTCTCCGGGTCCTCCGGATTCTCCCCTCCACATTTAGAATCGACATCGCGCGGAGAGCATTCGGCTGCTTTTTTTTAAAAAACCTTCCACGTGACGATGATGAGCCACCCCCTTCGTTGAGCCGTCATTTGTGATGGCGAGGTCGCCTCTGAAACAAGCGATTCGTCGCTCAGTGGGCCTTATACCTGGTTTAAAAAAAAATAGTAAATATACGTCTGGCGATGCTGCTACTGCTGCTTTGGCAGTGCACAAGCACAACCAGCAGCAACGATTGAGCGCGTTCCGTCAATGAAAACTATTTTATTTCGCCAGGTAAGGCCCGCCGGGCGATGGAGCTCTTTTTTGCAGAAGCGACCTGCCCGACACAAAAGACATCTCAATGGAGGAGCTTATCATCGTGTGCAAATTTACAGCAGCGTCCAAATGCCCTGAACGCGTGGTGATGTTGAATATAAATGTGGAGGGGGAAACCGGAGGACCCGGAGAAAAATCCACGCGACCACGTGGAGAGAGAGAGAGCGAGAGACACGCAAACCCCAAATATACAGCAGGCATCGGGTTGGGATTGAACCCATGACCTCCCCCATACCAGGCGAGGCGGTTCGCATCTCGCCACCGTGCTGCCAGTAACCACACTGGCCTTAAAGGGAACAGATATAATGAGTGACGTTTCGGGCAATGACCCTTCTTCAGAGTTCACGAATGGAGAGGCCAGTAGAGAGACGGAGTGGGCGATGCGAGTCGGTGACTGAATCTGTTTACACCGTGGGGCCTGGATGATGTGAATTTGATTGCAGAAATTAGTTAGTTTTTAAACAGTAATAGCTTACCAATATTTGGGGTGCTGCTTGCATCAAGTTACCTATCCTAGGTAACTGTTCATCACCAGTACCATCACCACCGCCGTCACCACCGCTGACCAACGCGCGGGTGTGACCGCGGCGAGGTGAAGTGAACGAGTGCCAGTGAAGACGCGGTGGAGTTAGGAAAGTGTGAATGACGACGCCTCGTTTTCGCAAATAGGTCGTCACTTTATTATTAACACCGCGACCCGATTTGCCGTTGCCTCAACCCCCATGCTGACGTCGCTTACAGCATCGTCTCTCGCTACACGTTATCCGTTGCCTCTCGGACCTTTGCCTCCACCACCGACTACTTACTCCATAAACCGCTTTGATTGACGCCGTTTCGATATTCGCCGTCGCACCTTCCAAGAACGCATCCCCCGCTTAAACCGGGGTATCACCGCACTGCTCACTTTATTGATCCCTGAGTTACGGCGATGATGACGACGACGATGACGCCGGCGACGATGACAAATGATGACGACGACGTTGACGATGAACGTATGCATGCTGAACTTCTTTCGGACCGTATGTAGCCAACCGTGCTAATCAGAGGTGCGGGGCCAGCAGACCGGCAGCATTCACCCCCCCAACTCCGGGGAGGTCAACGTTAAACATCCGATGGATGCCGGATCTTGTAGCCAGCGGCATGTCGGATAAAATTACGTTTTTGCTTGGACTTCTCATCATTCCTCCTCTGGCCTTGACGATGAACCAAACTGCACATGGCATATGTACCCATGTGACGAGACGGCCCCCGGATTTGATTGGCTATGCCGTTGTCGGGTGGTGGAGGGCTATAAGTTAACGACACATTACATTGCCACCTACGCGACGATCAAACCCAAAAAAATTATCTCGCAGTGAATCAACGCGCCTCCGATTTCCCAGTGTGCGACTTCAAAATTCAACATCTCGTTTCTTTGTGAACTCCTTGTCGTGTTCAGTTTGATGTCCTTCCCTTGCACACCTCCGATCAGCACGGTCAGGCTACGTACGGTGCGAAAGAAGTTCAACATACATGCGTACGTGCATATATATGCGTACACATGCGCACTTGAAGGTTCTTCCACACAGGCATAGCTGCCATCGACTAAAGAAATGCGCTTGGGAGACCTGTGCTACCGTTGTTGTAAACCATCGCTTTCTATGGATTAACGCGTCGGCTTTCGCCAACAAATGTTACCCACAATTCATGTTTTTTAAGGCCGAAGCAGGAAGACTCCTTCGCAATTTCTGGCCGATCGCCCGATGGAAGCTGAAGTGGTGACGAATTGGCGCCACGTTTTCCGTTTACGCGACCTTTACCGATTGGGATGTGGCATGGGTTTGACGGACACATTAAAATCCCACCAAATTAGTTTTTTTTTTAAATTATTATACTTTCTAACCATGTCCAAATTATTAGTATTATTCAGTTTGTTTCCCCAGGGATGCCTCGCTAAGTCTCAAGACCCGTTTTAGTAGAGGGGTGGGTTGGAGACGGGGTGGGGTGGGCGGGGCGGAAGGCGATGATCGCTGGCTGCCGCCGCTGCTGCTGCTGCATCACAGCCGAGCCATCCGTGATGTTAGTTTTCACTGACATTTCCGTCCGGCCAATTTGGACCACAACGTTCCCGGCTCTTGCACGCACGCCTGCCGGCGCGGTCGCGGTCGCGTCGCGGGAGATCTCCGGCGTGCGCCGGGCCAAGCGGTCGTTTTCCACGGTCGGTCAAACCGGGCCGCGGTGCCAACCCGGGGGGGGCCGGCACGCGCTGGATCCAAAACCGTCGTCGGAAAATGGTCGGGGCAGACCCCCCCCTCCCCCCCCCCCCCCAGGCGCGTTAACCAACAACGTACGTGCCCGGCCATAGCGAGCGACGTTGTGTTGTACTGTACTCCGGAGGGGGGGCAGTTCGCGGCTTCAGAGCCGAGAGGGCGAGGCGCCGGTCTCGGGCCGCGCGCTCCGCACCGCGTTCTCGTAGCAGAGCTTGGCGAAGATGGGCTCCACCTGGCACGGCGGGAGAGAGAGGGAGAGAGAGAGAAGAAAAAAAAACCGATGGCTTAACGACGACGAGTGTGCTCACTTTGACACGCAGGCTTTTTCGGGAAACCAGCAATTTCTCGATTTGAAGCTTTCGTGTCCGCAAGGATCCATGCTCTTCGGTTCTATTCGGTAAAGTGACTTTACCGAATAGAACCAAGGAGTATAAAGCCAGGATTATTCACGGTTAAGAGTTTTTTTTTTTGTTTGTTTGGGGGGAGTTAGATCGCACGAGTACAAATGCGTCGTTAACCCCGTCAACGATTCTGGCAAAAAAAAAAAATGGAAAATCGCTCGATGACTCTGGACGTAATCACCGGGGAAACGGCACGGTACTCAAATTGTTCAGCGTTGTCGGGTTTGCTTCTCCAACGCACCACCGGCAGTAACCCCCACTGGCACGCTTTGTTTACGTGACGAACCTTGCCCAGTGGCCCTTGCCTGGCAAAGTCAAAATTGGCCCATAACAGTTTCACAGTTTATATACGTGGACGTCTATGGGTCTCTCCGAGTCTCGGCGGGTTTCTTTGTGTCCGATTTCTGTAGATCACAATGGGTCCCCTGCAATAGCAAAACGACGTTCGACGCGCGGGCAGGGCGGGTAGGGTGGGTAGGGTGGGCAAGGTGGGTAGGGTGGGTAGGGCGGGTAGGGTGTTCAGGACGGGTAGGGCGGGCAGGACGGGTAGGGCGGGCAAGACGGGTAGGGGTGGGTAGGGCGGGTGGGGCGGGTGGGGCGGGTAGGGTGGGCAAGGTGGGTAGGGTGGGCAGGCAGGGTGGGTAGGGTGTTCAGGACGGGTAGGGGTGGGTAGGGCGGGTAGGGCAGGCAAGGTGTTCAGGGTGGGCAAGGTGGGCAAGGCGTTCATGACGGGCAGGGTTGGCAGGGTGTTCAGGACGGGCAGGGCGGGTAGGGTGTTCAGGGTGTTCATGACGGGTAGGGTGGGCAGGGTGTTCAGGGCCGGCAGGGTGTTTCAGGGTGTTCATGACGGGCAGGGCGGGCAGGCGCGGCGGTGCGCCGGGCAGGCCACCGACCTGCACGGTGACGAACTTGTGGTGCAGTGGCCTCTCGTCAGGGAACTCCTCGCCGAAGCAGAGCACAACGGTGAAGCGCGGCTCGGGCCCGCGGCCTTCCTTGAAGGCCCTCAGCTCTGCGTGCGTCAACGACAGCGTGTAGGTGGCGGGTGACGAACGGTCATCGGCGCGGACGAACACCCGCCTGCTCCCCCCCCCCCCCCCCCCGCTACCCTCGCCGCCCCCCGTGTAGCCGCAACGGACCGTCGGGGGTGGGTTGGCACGTGCATGTCGTGATTCGCGTGGAGCGGCACTTATAAAACTAAACATTGCCACCGTTTTTATTCTAGCTGGTTTGTGCCCCACCGAGCTGTGTAGCTCTTTTTCAGAAGCGACCCGGCCATCGAAAAAATAATAGCTCAACGAAGTGGGCTTATCATCATCATCATCATCATCGTGGAAATGTATAGCAGCGAAATAGCTCTAAACGCGTGACGTAGATTCTAAATGGTAAGAGGTAAAAACCGGAGGACACGGAGAAAAATCCACGTCACCACGGGGAGAGAGAGAGAGAGAGACACGCAAACTCCAAATATTCAGGGGGGCATCAGGGTCGAGATCGAACCCACGACCTCCTGTATACCTGGCGAGGTAGTTAACATCTCCGCACGTTCTCACGAAGCCGCCCACGGTCATCAACCCCCGTTCGAATGGGAGGCCCGTCGCTCCTTCTCAGCTTCTGTTCCCCCTGCATGGAGTCTCTCTTCCTCCGCTAAATTGTGTTGTGTTGCATCATCGTCGTTGTGACGGGCAATAATGATATAATCGGATTCCTCCAGTATACGTAAACATTCTGAAGCAAACCAAAAAATGATCTCAGTGGCCCCGTCCGTAGCCCTGCGCCCGCCCCGTCCTCGCCGTCCGTGCTAATCCGTTGAGCTTCATCGCTTTACAGGCAATCGGATACCTCCAGTGTAAATGAATTATTCAGTTTTTTTTTGGTTTAACACGTGGCTTTGCTTTCCAACACACCGGTTAGTGCTGTACTAGAACTGGCCACGTTTCCGTTTACGTGACAACCCTTACTAGTTGGCTGTGTCGGGTGGCGGCGGGTCTTTTTTTTATTTACGACGCATTGATATTCGCACGCGTTCCAACCCCAATAAAACCTCAGATTATTTTTATTACAACAATTTTTTCGGGGTAAATCTCAGCGGCCCCGTCCGTCGCCCCGCGTCCCACCCGCCCTCCCGTTCACCCGCCCGTTCACCCGCCCGTTCACCCACCGTCCCAGAAGCGGCGCACGTCAAACATCGTCACCACCTCCCGCTTCTCCAGCTTGTTGGGCCTAGGCGGCGGCACCGGCGGCGGCGGCGGCGCGCAGGGCCCGTCCCAGAAGACGCGGCCGCGGCACAGCCGCTGGGCCTGCAGGCCCCGGCGGGGGTCCAGGCGCAGCAGCAGGCCCCGGCGGGCGTGCCACACGGCCGCGCTCGCAAAGTCCTCGTGGAGGGGCCGCGCCAGCGAGCGGACGCGCGCCGTCGGCGGGAACGCCAACAGCTGCAGCGGCGGCGGCAGCGGCGGGGGGGGCGGGGAAGGAGCGCGGCGCGGTTGTGGCGCTGGTGGTGGTGGTTGTTGTCGTGGTGGTGATGAACGTGCTGGTGGTGGTGGTACTTGTGGTGGTTGTGATGATGATGAGTACGGTCGTGGTGGTTCTGGTGGTGGTGAACGTAGTAGTGACAGTGGTGGTGGTGATGAGTATGGTGGTGGTGGTTGTGATGATGAGTATGGTCTTGGTGGTTGTGGTGATGATGATGAGTGTGGTGGTGGTGGTTGTGATGATTGTGGTGGTGGTTGTGATGATTGTGGTGGTGGTGGTTGTGATGATTGTGGTGGTGGTTGTGATGATGATGAGTGTGGTGGTGGTGGTGGTTGTGATGATGATGAGTGTGGTGGTGGTGGTTGTGATGATGAGTGTGGTGGTGGTTGTGATGATGAGTATGGTCTTGGTGGTGGTGGTAGTTGTGATGATGATGATGAGTATGGTCTTGGTGGTGGTGGTAGTTGTGATGATGATGAGTGTGGTGGTGGTGGTGGTTGTGATGATGATGAGTGTGGTGGTGGTTGTGATGATGATGAGTATGGTCTTGGTGGTGGTGGTAGTTGTGATGATGATGATGAGTATGGTCTTGGTGGTGGTGGTAGTTGTGATGATGATGAGTGTGGTGGTGGTGGTTGTGATGATGATGAGTGTGGTGGTGGTAGTTGTGATGATGATGAGTGTGGTGGTGGTAGTTGTGATGATGATGAGTGTGGTGGTGGTAGTTGTGATGATGATGAGTATGGTCTTGATGGTGGTTGTGATGATGATGATGAGTGTGGTGATGGTGGTAGTTGTGATGATGACGAGTGTAGTGGTGGTGGTTGTGATGATTGTGGTGGTGGTTGTGATGGTGGTGGTGGTTGTGATGATGATTGTGGTAGTGGTGGTGGTTGTGATGAGTATGGTCTTGGTGGTAGTGATGAACATGGTCGAGCTAGTGATAGCGGTGATGATGATGATGTTAATAGTTGTGATGGTGTTTGCGATTGTGGTTGTATCGTTGATGGTGGCGCTGGTAACTGCAGTTGTGATGATGGCGGTGGCGGTGGTAATATTGGCCGTGGTGATGATGCTAAGGGCGGGCATGGGGCTGGTAACAGAAGTCCTGATAACGATGGCGTTGTTGATAGTAACAAGCGTGATGATGATGACGACGACAACGACGACGATGATGATGATGATGACGATGATTGCAGTGGTAGCAGTAGTAATGATGATGGTGCTGGTACCAGTAGGAGTGATGATGATGACGACGGCGGCGGTGGTTGTGATGCCGACTGTACCAACACTAGTTGTACCGATTGTGGTCGCGGCGCTTGCGATTGTAACAATGGCAATGATGATGGTGGGGGCGGGAGCTGCAATGCCCGCGGTTGTTGTGGTTGTGGTTGCAATGAGGACCGTGGTAGTGCGAGCGATAGTGGTTGTGGTGACGTTGATGACGGTGGTGGTGGTGATGATGATGACCACGATGACGATTGTGGTGGTGGTGGTGGTGTCAGTGATCGTGATGATGATATCGACAATGACTGCGGTGATTGTGTTGATGCTGATGATCGTGGTGGTGGTGGTGGTGATTGTGATGATGGTATTGATGATGCTGATGATCGTGATGGTGGTGATTGTGATGATGGTATTGATGATGATGCTGATGATCGTGATGGTGGTGTTGATGCCGCTGCTGCTGATCGTGGCGATGGTGGTGGCCGTGGTGGTGATGATGGTGGTGGCCGTGGTGACGATGATTGGTGGCGAGCCGAGTGCCGGGAGCCGGGTTGGCGGTTGGGGGAGGGAGCGATGCGGTATCCATGGGGGTTGGAGACCCGGACCCGTTTCACCACCAAGCCCCGGTAGCGGAACGTCACCTCCAGTTCTGGGGACCGGAGGAACAGCAGGGGAACAGCGGGGGAACAGCGGGAGAACAATGGGGGAACAGTGGGGGAACAATGGAGGAACAACGGCAGAAGAGTGGGGAAACAATAGGGGAACAGCGGGGGACAACAGGGGAACAACGGGGGAACAGCGGGGGAACGAGGGAACAGCGGGGGACAAGAGGGGAACAACGGCAGAAGAGTGGGGGAACAACAGGGGAACAACGGGGGAACAGCGGGAGAACAACGAGGGAACAGCGGGGGAACGAGGGAACAGCGGGGGAACAGTGGGGGAACAGCGGGAGAACAGTGGGAGAACAGCAGGGGAATGGTTTAGCAATGAGGGAACAGTGGGGGAACAGCGGGGGAACAACGGGGGGACAGCGGGGGAACAGCAGGGGAATGGTTTAACAATGAGGGAACAGCGGGGGAACAACGGGGGGACAGCGGGGGAACAGCAGGGGAATGGTTTAACAATGAGGGAACAGTGGGGGAACAGCGGGGGAACAGCAGGGGAATGGTTTAACAATGGGGGAACAGCGGGCGAACGGTTTAACAATGGGGGAATAACGGGTTAGAGAAAGACGCAGTGCGAGAGACCCAGAGAGATGCACGGGAAGAGGGACACGGAGAGAGACTGAGATAGACACGGAGAGAGACTGAGATAGACACGGAGAAAGACAGATAGATGGCCATTGGAAGAGAGACACACATACACCCTGCACTTTTACTCCGCTCGTCTGTTTGAACAATTTTTTTTTAAACGCGTTACACCGGTGATCTAAGTTAGATCGCGTAAATATAAGTACACAAATCCTCCCCCCTCTTCCCCCGTGAACTCTTGCAGCCACGACTCTACAAAACTCCCCCCCCCCCTCCTCCCGTGCCTATATAAAGCCACAACAGCTGATCAGTCTTGCCCGCCTGATGACGGACGCTTGTGTTGCGACCGAAACGTCGTGTTTCTTTCATTATTTTTTCTTCTACCTACGTGGACTTTACCGAAAGAGCCAGAGAGTATGGATTCCTGCAGTCACGAAAGCTTCAAATCGAGACTGAAATATCTAAATGTGTCGTAAAACCCGCCACCACCCGACACAGCCAACTAGTAAGGGCTTGTGTCACGTGAACAGAACGTGGCCAAATTTTGATTTAAAGCTTTCGTGACTGCAGTAATTCATATAATTCATCAAGTCACGTTGAAGGGAAACAATAAAATAAACAGGTCCCTGCAGGGTGGGCTGGTAGGAACATTGGAATTTTTCACTTCGTTAAAGTATTGAAAGGGGACGGACGGACACATTAATCTATTGCAGGCTGATACACTCAGTTTACAACTTCGTTCCTACCAGTATAAAATATATATAAAACAATAAAAATTCTCACGACGTTTCGACCATAACACAAACGGTCGTCATCACGTGTGAATTGTTATTGTTTTATATATATTTTATTCTTTTATTGTTTCCCTTCAACGTGACTTTACCGACAGAGCTAAGAATAAGAACGTGGCCAGTTCGTCACTAGTGCAGCACACCTGTGTGTGCGAGAGCAAATGCACAACATTTACACTCCGAGGACGACGTTTCGCCAGTAATTACAACCGGCATCATCAGGCGGACCGCCAGATCTGTGGAGAAATCCTCCTGTTTCGTTCCATAGAGGGATAGATGTGATGACGTCACTTGTGAACCCTTCACGTGGAAGGGGGGGGGGGGGTAATGAATACATATTAATTACAATGGGTATCCATTATGACGATGTTTACACATTGCACCAGGTACTCATTTGAGGCCGAGTCGACCTAGGGGAGGCCCAGGACCGGTTCAGATAATCGTCACTGGGTGTTGGCCGTGAGCGGGAATCGAACCCGGGTCGCCGGGTTCGGAACGCAGCGTAGCGCTAACCGCTGCACCACCGCTCCCCACTCACACCAACACGGCCTGCACCACACACATAGCCTGCATCTCCGCACTGTACAGGCGCCGTGGTGACGTCACCATCACCTCGTGGCGAATGGCGGGTATTGTTATTGGTGTATGTGTGTGTATGTATATGTGAGTGTATGTATATGTGTCTGTATGTATATGTGTCTGTATGTATATGTGTGTATGTATATGTGTGTATGTATATGTGTCTGAATGTATGTGTGTCTGTATGTATGTGTGTCTGTATGTATGTGTATGTATATGTGTGTGCATGTATATGTGTGTGCATGTATATGTGTGTGCATGCATATGTGTCTGTATGCATATGTGTCTGTATGCATATGTGTCTGTATGTATATGTGTCTGTCTCATACCCGTCAACCCCTTATCAGTGCCCTACCTTATTACAGACCAATTCAGACCTTATTGGTCACCCCGTGCCCCTTTATAAATCTCGGCGTTCATCCTACAAAGTCCCGTTGCAAGGGAGAAACACAAACAAATAGACACAATTCATTGCTTTGTTGCCCGTATTGAAACGGCTGCACGCCGTATGGATCTGAGAACCCATTTTCCCTGTAAGGATACGGGGTAAACCGTACGTGTTGCCAGGTTAGGGTGTCTGTGCGTGCGTGTGCGTGTGGGTATCGTAGAGTGAACGTCGATGTTTGTGGCAGGTGAACCAACTCCAGTACCCGATCGGAGCAGAGCTCTCCACTCGTCTTGGTTCATGAACGAGATGGCCTGCCCCAGCAGGACAGAGGACACTGCCAACAGTCAAACGGACAACGTCACTGCCATCGTCGTCATCGTTGACATCATCGCCACCATCTACATCATCATCATCAACAACATCATCGCCACCATCGCCATCACCGCGATACGAGCCGATTCCATCGCCCCCTAGCATCAGTTGCGTGCACCCCCTCTTGGGAGAGGGCTCCGGAAAGCTTCACCTGCACGGTCGCCATGCCGCAGGCTGAACCCCTCCACCCCTCATCCCTCCGCTCCCCCTCCCCCGCAAGTGGGATATTAATTTTTTGTCTATTTGTATGTTCATGGCAATTTCATGCAGTGCACAAACTTAAAACGCTAAAGAAATATAACGACAAACAATGTAAAACAAGAATGTGCACGAAATAATCTATTTAAAATCATGACGATTTGGCGATTCTTCGGCGTTTTTTCAAAATCTAGCATCCCCTCCCTCCCTCGAGGCCAATCGGTGATCTCCTGTAAAGCCTGAATCGATCCCATAGTGGAACCCTATAAACTACGAACAATTTTTGTATTTTATCTACCAGGTAAGGCCCCAACTGAGCTATGTACAGCTCTTTTTTTCAGAAGGGACCTGGACCATCACAAATGATGGCTCAACGAAGGGGCGGCTGATCATCACGTGCAAATGTCGAGCAGCAGCCAGATATTCTGAACGAGTGACGTAGATTCTAAATGTGGAGGGAAAAACCGGATTTCATGGAGAAAAATCCACGTGACCACAGGGACAGGGAGACGGGCAAACTCCAAATATACAGCAGCAGCAACAGGCGTCACGGTCGGGAGCGAACCCACGACCTCCTGTACACCAGGCGAGGTCGTTAACATCTCGTGGCGCACTTTAATGATGGCAGTGGTGACAATGATGACTATGATGACTGATGATGACAACGATGACGACGATGATGACTATGATGATGACTATGATGATGACTATGATGATGACTATGATGATGACTATGATGATGACGACGATGATGTCTATGATGATGACTATGATGATGACTATGATGATGACGACGATGATGACTATGATGATGACTATGATGATGACTATGATGATGACGACGATGATGTCTATGATGATGACGACGATGATGACGACGAGGACGACGACAATGACGATGATAACTATGATGATGACGACGATGGCGACGACAATGACGACGATGATGATGATGACTATGATGATGACGACGATGATGACGACGAGGACGACGACAATGACGATGATGACTATGATGATGACGACGACGACGATGATGATGATGATGACTATGATGATGACGACGATGACGGTGATGACTATGATGATAACGATGATGATGACGATGACGACGAGGACGACGACAATGACGACGATGACGACTATGATGACGACAATGACGACGATGATAATGACGACGATGATCACAATGATGACGACGACGATGATGACGATGATTACGATGACGACTATGATGATGACTATGATGATGACGACGTCGACGATGATGACTATGACGATGATGACTATGATGACAACGACGACGACGACAGTGATTATGACGACGACGATGATAATGATGACTATGATGACGACGATGACGACTATGATGATAACGACAACGACTCACCGGCCAGGGGGGAGGGCAGGCGACTCATGTGGGATGTGAAGTAATCAAAGCCTGGAGAAGAGGAAAGCGAAGACGACGACTCGTAGCAGTAGGAGGTGTTGGTGCTGGTGGACGCAGCATCGGAGCTCGTCTCGAACTGCGCTCGGAGAGACGCGCACAAACACGTACAGCACTACCGCTCACACTCACACGTACAGCACTACCGCTCACACTCACAAGTACAGCACTACCGCTCACACTCACACGTACAGCACTACCGCTCACACGTACAGCACTACCGCTCACACTCACACGTACAGCACTACCGCTCATACTCACACGTACAGCACTACCGCTCACACTCACACGTACAGCACTACCGCTCACACTCACACGTACAGCACTACCGCTCACACTCACACGTACAGCACTACCGCTCATACTCACACGTACAGCACTACCGCTCATACTCACACGTACAGCACTACCGCTCACACTCACACGCACAGCACTACCGCTCACACTCACACGTACAGCACTACCGCTCATACTCACACGTACACCACTACCGCTCATACTCACACGTACAGCACTACCGCTCACACTCACACGTACAGCACTACCGCTCATACTCACACGTACAGCACTACCGCTCATACTCACACGTACAGCACTACCGCTCATACTCGCAGAGACCCACAGAGACCCATACTCACAGAGACCCATACAGAGACTCACAGAGACCCATATACATATAGAGACCCATACAGAGACCCACAGAGACCCACAGAGACCCATTTCCAAATAGAGACCCATACTCAGAGACCCACAAAGACCCATACTCCTAGAGACTCACAGAGACCCATTTCCATATAGAGACCCATACTCACAGAGACCCACAGAAACCCATACAGAGACCCAGACTCATAGAGACCCATATTCAAAGAGACCCATACTAAGAGACCCACGGAGACCCATACTCAGAGACCCACAAAGACCCATACTCGTAGAGACTCACAGAGACCCACAGAGACCCATTTTCAAAGAGACCCATACTAAGAGACCCACAGAGACCCATACTAAATCTAAACTAGTTTTATTGTACCAGGTAAGGCCCACTGAGCTGTACAGCTCTTTGTTAGAATAGCTTATACAGCCATGGTGGCGAGATGTTAGCTACCTCGCTTGGAATACAGGAGGTCGTGGGTTTTGATCCCGCCCCCGACGCCTGCTATATATTCCATGTCTCTCCCTCCACATTTAGAATCAACGTCATGCGTTCAGAGTATTTGGCTCCTGCTATAAATTCCCACGTGGTGATGGTGATAAGCCAACTTCGTTGAGCTCTCATTTGATAAAAGAGCTAAGTAGCTCAGTGGGCCTTACCTGGTAAATTTAAAAAAAGCTGTTTGGTTTAATCATTTAAAGACAAGCTTCTCCAATGCCTCCTTAGCTAGGAGGGATGGAGATGGGAAAGCGGCACATTCCCCGCTTGTTTATTAGGTTGCGTTTCCATTGTGTCAGAATCTGAATATTTATTTATCCTGGAGTAATCGAATGAGCTGTAAGCTTATCGTAAAAAAAAAAAAATAGCTGATCGTTTTCACGTTCCATCCCCTAGCTGCCGCTCCTCGATTTGTCTCGACCCAAAACCACGAGGACCAGATGCCATAGGTTGACTGTCTGAGATGACTGGCAGATGCGCCACCTGCGCCCCCCGGTTGTGCCAATTTGCTGCGTTTCAGCTGCCCGGCGCTCCGCTCGTTGCTGCAGTTGGAGGGCGGCTGCCTCCCAACTTCCCAGTCGCAGCGTCCTTCGCGAGCCTCCTCCTCGACCACAGAGGCCGATCTCGACACCGCCGGTACCGGCCGTTGGCAAGCCCACTCAGCACACACATGCCCACACGCGCACACACACACGTACACACACGCACACGCGCACACAAACACACCTTGATCTCCAGAGCGGGGCCTTCAGGCTTCACCTCGGCCTGCTTCTCGTAGAAGGCGTGCCCCTCGTAGTCGTGGTCCATGCGCCTGCGTTTCTCTGCGGCGGCGGAACGCGACAACAAAGGTCAGAGGTTACGATCACCCCCATCCCCTCCTGCACTCTCCCCCCCCCCCCGTGTGTAGCCCACACAAGGCTGGTGGGGGCCACGCGTCGTTGGCGAGCAGCGGCACCTATAAAGCGGCACGGCGCCCAGCCGCCTTGGTCTCCCACGGCGCCGATGTTTTACACGCCGTGCCGGCTACCCATTTAAGACTGAGTGGATCTAGGGGATGCCCCGCCACCAGTATTTAAGTCAGGGGCGGAGCCGGGGGGGGGGGGGGGGGGGGGGTGACAGGGTAGACAATTGTCACCCCCGAAAAAAATAAAAAATCGAAAATCTGAAACATTCTGCGTGTAAGTGTACGACACTCGGTCTGGCGGACTCCGTGCAACTGCATTGTGAGAGCGCGTCGCCAACCGATGGCGTGGGGTATAGCCGATTTCTTAGCGCGTCGTCCTCGGCCTGCTCCTGAAGCGCAAGACGAGCCTGCCCTTCAGCGGAGGCGTGATCGTTCCCCTTCGCCGCCGCCGCCGCCGCCGGATGAAGAACGGATTTCGATCACGGTCCGATGAGCAAGAGCGGCAGCTACGGCTCCGGATCGCGACCCCGCCACGATGGCTCCCGATGGCGGAGTCGGACGCCCAAGCATTGCGCTACGCGTATCCGCAAGCGGGACGGTTCGTACCGCCTCCGGCTCCGCAACCTGGCCCCGACCGGGACGTTGAAATACCCGTCCAGGTTCGCTGGCGGCGCCGCCCCATCCGCCGCGCGACGGCGTCTTTGCTTGTCCAGTTCGACCGGCTCGAGTGCTCGTTCACCAGCGAGTCTGTTCACTCGCTTCTATTGCTACCTCTTCCCGCCGTCGTCAAGCGCTGGTGACGTTGCGTCGGCATTCATCAGCTCCCCCCGGCGTCTCAACCTGGAATAAGATCGGTGGCAAGAATTGCGGCCTGCTCACGCATCAGGGTGGGCACAGGTCGGCACACAACGTCGCCGTGAAGAAAGGCCGGGGGACCTTCCCAACGCCCGGCGGCACGTCATCACGGGCGACGCTGGGCCGGCCCGACAGAATGCCGAAACTCTTGACGGCAACCGCAAGCGCCTGGACGTCCTCCGTCGACGTCATGCGCGCCTGCGTGAACCGGGGCATTGCGATGCGGGGACGCGACGAGCCGCCGGGCTCCCTTAACCGGGGCGATTGTCTGGGGACTCTCAACATGCTACGAGAGTACGCGATGCACTGCTGCTTGCGGCCGTCACCTGGGAGAACGCGCCGCAGAATGCGACCGCGACCAGCCCCGAACGTTCAGAAGGGCCCGATCCGTGCTCACGCTCGACGCCGAGACTGGCGACGCGTTACCATTGCACCGTGGCGGACGAGTCGCGTGACGTCGGCGAGAAGGAGGAGCAGCAGCAGCTGGCCTTTCGTCAAGCGCTTTGTCGAGGTCAGCACGGGGGCATCCTGCGCGAGCGACTCGTCGACAATCGGCACGTGTCGGACGCGTGTGCGCCCGCCCTCCACCTCTGCAGCGCCATTGTCAACCTGCTCTCGAGTCGCCGGCGCCCCATTGAGACCGGCCGCGGCCAAGGATACGACGGCGCGTCGAGCACGAGCGGCGAGGTCGCTGGCCTGCGGCTCGCTCTCGTCGCTGCCCGCACAAAAATGGCGTCGCCGACGTTGCCGCGCTCTTTGACACCCCCGTCCAGAGGACACAATCCGCACTGCCGCCGGCTCGCGCAAGCGCAGCGACCGACCGCTCGCCGGGGCACACGAAGCTCGTCGACGGCCTGGTCGACGAGCTGGCCGTCTCTCCACCGGCCGCGGTCAGAATCAGGAGACGGCGTTGTCGGCGGCGGGCAACGCGAGCCGCTCGCCTCTCTGGCGCTCGCTGCACCGCCTGATTGAGATGTTCAACGCGGCGGCCGTCGTCGTCATCCAGAACGCGGGAGAGGGCGGCGCGCCAAAGGCAGAGCAAAGGGGCCGAAGCTCATCGCCTTCTCAGCGACGCGTTCTCGTTAAAGCTCGCGTGCTGCCCGCACCCGACGGAGCGCTTGCTTGAGATCACGAGCGATTTGCACGTGGCGCTGCGGAAAGAGGAGCAGGACGTTGTCAATGCGATGCGGCTTGCCGATTGCACCACTGAGTCGCTGAAGGCTAGGACGTCAACGCCTTCTGCGACGTCAACGAGGTACCCGTCTTGATTTAAAGCTTTCGTGACTGCAGTAATTCATATTCTTAGCTCTTTCGGTAAAGTCACGTCGAAGGGAAACAATAAAAGAATAAAATATATATGAAACAATAAAAATTCTCACGACGTTTCGACCATAACACAAACGGTCGTCATCAGGTGTGTCGGTTTGCATTAAATTAATGCAAACCGACGTCGTGAGAATTTTTATTGTTTTATATATATTTTATTATTTTATTGTTTCCCTTCAACGTGACTTTACCGAAAGAGCTAAGCATATGAGGTACCCGTCGTCGACATGAACGCGAACCGCACCCGCCCTGGACGTCCTCGGCGCTGCGCCTACGTCATCACCAACGACCACGTGTTTCACATCGACCTCGTTAACGCCTCGATCGACGAGATGCTGGTCGAGCTCGATCTGCGTTTCGGCGCGGAGTCGGTGAAGATGTTGCGGCCGGCGGTCCATTCATCGCCCCGCGATCGATTTTGAGTCGTTCAACGTCAGCGAGATCCTGGAGCTGGCCTGTGATTTTCCCGATCTCGACATGCTTCTCCTCGAGCTGCAGCTGCTCATACTTCGAACAGGAAATCCGGCGAGATGAAGAGCCGAAGAATGTGAACACGCTGCCAATGCTGCCCATGAACCTGGCGACAAGCGGCCGCGGAGATTCCGGCTCTCACCTGCTCTACCGCCTGGTGCGCCTCGTGTTGGCCCCACCGGTGGCCACCGCCACAGCCGAGCGCATCTTTGGCGCGATGAAGCACATTAAGACCCGATTGCGTACCGCCATGGGTGCCGAGTACTTTACTGACGCGACGCTCCTGCTCGTCGAAAACGACGTCGCAAAAGGCGTCACACCGACGACGAAATCATGGAGCAGTTCCAGCCGATGCGCCCGCACCGCAATCATGATCGTCCGAAGTCTAGTTCAACAGCCTGACTCTCTCATCATTCTTGAAATTAAAATTTGTTGAATGTCACCCCGGGCTGACAATCCTGGCTCCGCCCCCGATTTAAGTCGCCGATTTTTGGCTGCGTGCGGGAATCGAACTCGGGGTTGCCGAGTTTGCGGCGCTCCACTACCGCTCCTCAAAATCATCACCACACTCACCACTACTCGCCACTACTCACCACTCTCACCGTACCCACCACCTATACCACATTCACCACCACCACCACCACACTCACCACTCTTACCACCGTCACCACATCCACCACGCTCACCACTATCACCACCACCATCGTTACCACACCCACCACTCACCACACTCATCACCACGCTCGCCAAATTCCAACACCCAGCATTTGACACTAAGCGACGGTGACGACACCACAGAGCCTGTGCTAGGCTAGGTGCACACTCTGAGGTGCACCACCACCTCCCACCACCATTACCGCCACCACACTCACCGCCACTCTCACCGCCACCACAACCACCGCCACTCACCAACACCATCACCATCACGACTCTCGCCACCGTCACCACACTCGCCACCCGTCACCACACTCGCCACTCTCAACCTACCCGCAACCACTACCCATCACGACCACCGCACTCACTCTTTCCTCCTCCTCCTCCTCCTCCGTCGGCGCCGGTGCTGCCGGAGGAGCTGCCCGTGTCCTCCGGCAGCACGCGGTAGACCTTGTAGGGCTCGGGGATGTCCAGCTGGCTGCGCTGGGACACCTCCTGGAAGTCGGTGCTCTTGTTGAGGGCGCAGCGGAGGCGAGTCTTCATGGCAGACGGCTCGGCCTGCTCCTTGACGCTGAACTTGCCCCGGTTCTGGGCCCACGCCTAGGGCGGCGGCGGCGGCGGCGGCGGCAGGAAACCGTCGTCAACGGCAAGAACGCACGCCAATGGGAAAACGTCCATGGCAAACGTCGATGGCAAACGTCGACAAACGGACGGGGGGCGCGGGCGAAGAAACCAAACAAGCGAGGAATCATCTTCTTTGGTTCTTTCGGTAAAGTCACGTAGAATGAGAATAAAATAATAAATTGATAAAATAAAATAACACAATAAAATTCTCACGACGTTTCGGCCACAACGCAAGCGGCCGTCTTCAGGTGAAAGGAACAGACCTGTCGGGACGACAGAGCTTCAATGAACGATGTTAAGATTCGTAGCGACTTTTAAGCTGGTTAAAAGTCGCTACGAATCTTCGTTCATTGAAGCTCTGTCGTCCCGAGAGTTATGTACCTTTCACCTGAAGACGGCCGCTTGCGTTGTGGCCGAAACGTCGTGAGAATTTTATTTCATTAATTTATTATTGTATTCTCATTCTACGTGACTTTACCGAAAGAACCAAAGAAGATGAATCCTTGCAGTCACGAAAGCTTTAAATCGAAAGAAGCGAGTAAGTGTGGACGTGCGGAGCGAACCCTGAAGATGGCGCCGTGCATCCCTCGCGAGTAGTCGTGCTTGGACGCGTGCTTCCAGGGGATGCGGAACGTGGCCTTGGTGTCGTCCTCCCAGCAGAGGCCCGGGTAGAGGCCGCTCTCGATCTGTTCCAGCAGCCAGGGCCTCAGGCGAGCCTTGCTGTGCGCAACGTCTGCAGCGGCACCACGGCGGCAGGAGCAGCAGCAGGAGGAGGAGGAGGAGAAAGAGCAGGAGGAGGAGCAGCAGGAGGAGCAGCAGCAGCAGCAGGAGGAAGAGCAGTAGCAGCAGGAGGAGAAGCAGAAAGAGCAGCAGCAGGAGGAGCAGCAGCAGCGGGGGGAGCAGCAGGAAGAGCAGTAGCAGCAGGAGCAGCAGGAGGAAGAGCAGCAGCAGGAGCAGCAGGGGGAGCAGCAGGAAGAGCAGTAGCAGCAGGAGGAGGAGCAGCAGCAGGAGCAGCAGGGGGAGCAGCAGGAAGAGCAGTAGCAGCAGGAGCAGCAGGAGGAGCAACAGCAGGAGCAGCAGTAGCAGCAGGAGGAGGAGCAGCAGCAGGAGCAGCAGTAGCAGCAGGAGGAGGAGCAACAGCAGCAGGAGCAGCAGTAGCAGCAGGAGGAAGAGCAGCAGCAGCAGGAGGAGCAGCAGGAAGAGCAGCAGCAGGAGCAGGAGGAGCAGCAGGTGGAGGCAAAGGTAGAATCATCATCGTCATCCACGGAGTGGCCTGGTGTCGTCAAGAAAACGACTAAGACTATTTTACCGGGTAAGGCCCCCCTCCCGCCCCCCACTGAGCTGCGTGGCTCTCATTTGGGAAGCGACCTGCCCATCACAAATGATAGCATCCCAACGAAAGTGGCGGATCATCGTGAGTCGTGCGGAAATTTAGAGCAGCCAAAGACTCGGAACGCGTGATGCCGATGACAAATGTGGAGAGGAAAACCGGGGCAAGATCCGAGCGACCACGGGGAGAGAGAGAGAGACACCGCAAACTCCAAATGAACTCACACTCACCCTACCGTTAACACACTGACACTACCGTTAACACACTGACACTACCGTTAACACACAAACACTAACCCTACCGTTAACACACTCACCCTACCGTTAACACACTAACACTACCGTTAACACACTCACCCTACCGTTAACACACTAACACTACCATTAACACACTGACACTACCGTTAACACACTGACACTACCGTTAACACACTGACACTACCGTTAACACACAAACACTACCGTTAACACACTGACACTAACCCTACCGTTAACACACTAACTCTACCGTTAACACACTGACACTAACCCTACCGTTAACACACTAACCCTAGAGTTAACACACTAACACTAACCCTACCGTTAACACACTAACCCTACCGTTAACACACTAACACTAACCCTACCGTTAACACACTGACACTAACCCTACCGTTAACACACTAACACTAACCCTACCGTTAACACACTGACACTACCGTTAACACACTAACACTAACCCTACCGTTAATACACTAACACTAACCCTACCGTTAACACACTAACACTAACCCTACTGTTAACACACTAACACTAACCCTACCGTTAACACACTGACACTACCGTTAACACACTAACACTAACCCTACCGTTAACACACTAACACTACCGTTAACACACTAACACTAACCCTACCGTTAACACACTGACACTACCGTTAACACACTAACCCTACCGTTAACACACTAACCCTACCGTTAACACACTGACACTAAGCCCTACCACAGTATTACCACACTGACACCAATCGTTTTCAGAATCTGTATTCATCCTGGAGGAATCCGATGAGCTATGAAGCTCTTTTGGACAGATGTACAGTAGGTCAGCAAGTAACAACAAACGCCACAAAAAAAACACTAAAAATAAATAAAGTGTCCATAATCTGACAGTTATACTACTAACACCACACGTTTCTGTTTGAATACGTTTCAGTGTTGTATAGCCCGAGCTAACATTGTGGAATTTCAACACAAGCTTCCGTCTTCAGGTGGAACAGTCACAGCAAGATCGCTGCATCAAGTGATGCAGTGATGCAGCTACCTTGCTGTGACTAAATTTCAATTTAAAGCTTTCGTGACTGCAAGGATTCATCTTATTTGGTTATTTCGGTAAAGTCACGTAGAATGAGAATAAAATAATGAAATGAAACAATAAAATTCTCACGACGTTTCGGCCACAACACAAGTGGCCTTCTTCAGGTGAAAGGAACAAACCTGTCGGGACGACAGAGCTACACTGAACGCTGCTAAGATTCACAGCGTCTTTTAAGCTGGTTGAGAGAAGTGAGGCACCTTGACAAAGGGGGTTTACATATCAAACAGGAGAATTTAGCATTGAAACAGTTGAGGGATTAGTTTGTGACTGGTCACAGAAATAGCTATATTAAAGTTAAAGCCTACACATCCACAGAGGCACCTAGTACAAATCAAACAGGAGAATTTAGCATTGAAACAGTTGAGGGATTAGCTTGTGACTGGTCACAGCAATAGCTATGTTAAAGTCAAAGCCTACACATCCACAGAGGCACCTAGTACAAATCAAACAGGAGAATTTAGCATTGAAACAGTTGAGGGATTAGCTTGTGACTGGTCACAGAAAGCTGTGTTAAAGTCAAAGCCTACACATCCACAGAGGCACCTAGTACAAATCAAACAGGAGAATTTAGCATTGAAACAATTGAGGGATTAGCTTGTGACTAGGCACAGAAATAGCTATGTTAAAGTCCTACACATCCACAGAGGCACCTAGTACAAATCAAACAGGAGAATTTAGCATTGAAATAGCTGAGGGATTAGCTTGTGACTGGTCACAGAAATAGCCATGTTAAAGTCAAAGCCTACACATCCACAGAGGCACCTAGTACATATCAAACAGGATAATTTAGCATTGAAATAGCTGATTGATTAGCTTGTGACTGGTCACAGAAATAGCTATGTTAAAGTCAAAGCCTACACATCCACAGAGGCACCTCGTACATGGACGCCAAAGGGGCAGCAACAACTCAACTATCATACAGTAAACCGATGTGAAAAAAACCTAAGTCTAAATTACATCAATATAATAAATGTACTCAATATATTCTTAAATAAGCAGAGCTATTAACAGCAACTGGGTATACATTACACTATATAATGAATACCATATAGTAAACAGATAAAAAAACTAAAATATAAACTACCTCAATGTTATCAATTAACTATATATTCTCCAATCAGCTGAGCATTCCAACAATAAGTCGTTATATATCACGATGCTATATGGCGAAAAAATGGGTGGATTCTTACCCTCCACCTTGCTGTGACTGTTCCACCTGAAGACGGAAGCTTGTGTTGCCTCTGAAACGTCGTGATTTTATTTAATTTAGTTTTATTTTATTTTACCTACGTGACTTTACCGGAAAAAAAAACAAAGAGTATGAATCCTTGCAGTCACGAAAGCTTCAAATCTAGATTTGTGGAATTTCCACATTATCATGACATGAGCCAATCGGAGTACTTTGCTGTGTATAGGACAGCAACAACCGCCATTCTCCACTAAGTGGCTGTGACGTCACCGCGGCGCTTGTGCCAGGCTAGGTGCACTTTAAGGCCACGTGAAGTATCGAATGCCTGCTGGCAGTGATTCAGGCGATACAGGCGATCATCGATAATTATCCGGTGGCCTCCAGGGTGGGGCGAGAGGGTGGCAGGTTTTTCGAAACGCCGAAGAATCACCAATCATCATTATTTAAAATAGATTATTTTTGCACATTCATGTATGATATTACGTTTGTTGGTGTGGTGTGTTTTTTAGAGTGTCACGTTTGTTTAACACGTAAGCTTTCGTGACCAATATCATCCATAATATAAAATATATGATCCATAATAAAAAAAAATCTGGCTGCAACCTGATGATGCCAGTTGTAATTACTGGCGAAACGTCGGACTCAGATTATAAATGTTGTGAATTTGCTCTCCAACACACCGGTGTGCTGTACTAGTATACTACACTATACACTACACTACTATACACTTCACTATACACGACACTACTATACACTTAACTATACACTACACTATACACTACACTATACACTACACTACTATACACTACTATACACTACACTACTATACACTTCATTATACATTACATTACGATACACTTCACTATACACTACACTATACACTACACTACACACGACTATACTCTACACTACTATACACTTCACTACTATACACTTCACTATACATTACACTACTATACACGACTATACACTACACTACTATACACTACACTATACACTACACTATACACTACTATACACTTCACTATACCCTACTATACACTACACTACTATACACTACACTATACACTACTATACACTTCACTATACATTACACTACTATACACTACTATACACTTCACTATACATTACACTACTATACACTACTATACACTTCACTATACACTACACTATATTTATTACCATGCTGGTAAATTTCGTGTTCGGTTGAACACGAAATTTAACACTTCTGAAATCCGTGGTCCGCCAGGAAGTGTCTAACTGTGTTGTTGGCCTGACTGGATGTGCTTCACATGTTTTTTGCAGGTTTGTTGAATTCTCGTCTCTCATCTTTTTTTTGTGTTGTATTTACCTCCGTGATTTGTTCTTGGCACCTGATGAAGATCGCTTGCGTTGTGATCGAAACGTCGTGATTGTGTTTTTTTTGCTTTCACATAATTTCATTGTATTTCTACATACGTGACTTTACCGGAATCACCACTGAGTACAAATACATCCTAATTACGGGCTAGGTGGGGGTGGAGCAGGGGGAGTTCATAGTTCAGTTTAGACTGCGATGACTGACAGACCGGCACCCACGCACGTGTGTCGCCAACCACAACCATCACCAACTCATCCACAACTCATCCACAACTCATCCACAACTCATCCACAACTCATCACCAACTCATCCACAACTCATCCACAACTCATCACCAACTCATCCACAACTCATCCACAACTCATCACCAACTCATCACCAACTCATCCACAACTCATCCACAACCATCACCAACTCATCCACAACTCATCCACAACTCATCCACAACTCATCCACAACTCATCACCAACTCATCCACAACTCATCCACAACTCATCACCAA